TATATTTGTCTCAACCTCAAGCTGGCTTACAGATTTTACAAATGTAATTATTATTTAGTGATGGGACAAGGAATGTGGGACTAGGCACAGGAAAACCTAGTCATGCATACTGTACCTGCAGGTACAAATCAAATTATTTGGTGATGGGACAAGGAATGTGGGACTCTCAGGATCCCTAACGGGTGCCCTTACTAGCATTCTTTTCTCCTTTGTTGGAACCTGTAGAAAAGGAACCAACAGAAAAGAAAGTTAACTTTTTCCTCATATCATGAGATCTGAACATATAATGCCTGACTCTGAAGGTCTATTTGTCCCTCCTTTCATCATAAACTCCATACAGCTAAAATGTCACCATGACTCTGCTGCAAGCAGGCCTTCCACTGCCACATTGCAGCAAATCAAAATAAGTCTGGAAAATCCATGTCACCAGAGCTTCAAAATATCTCTTACTTTTACATATCTGCAGGTCCAAGTACTAGGATACTTACACTGACAATCCTAAGCAGCATTGTTATATGCCAACTAAGGGAGGTGTGTGTTTTTTTTACAGCCTCTCTGCATTCTCACACTGTAGCTGTCTCTAACCATGGTTACTAGAGTCCTATGCTTTTCTTGCTGAAGATGGCAAAAATTCACCAGCTGTTGCATTTTGGCCACCACGCAACAAGCAGGGTAAAGAGAAGAATTTTGCTGAATATATTTGTTGAGAATCTTCCTCTAGCTGTAACTTTCACCCTTCAAGTACAAATAAAAGGTCTCAAGGCCCTTCCTGTCTCTTGTCAATAAGCACCACCTCACGTAGCCCAACCTGTCTGATGTTTCTAAAGTTGCGACAGCTGCTGCACTTTCCAGTACTCACTCAACTATTTGCCTGCAGGCTACCAGTTCATTACCTCTTCTCTCCGTAACAACATTTTTTGTACCCATGCACCTGACTTAAAATTTAACGGCAAGCAAACAAAAGGCATAACCCGATTAGCCGAACACCATATGCTGTGTAACCACTAATTCCCCAGGCTTCGCTGAAAGGGTAAAAGAAAGTTACGCATCAAGGATGTGTGTATCCAAATGATTTGATTCAGTTACCCAATGCTATGAAATAGATGCATATAGGTCAACAAAACAATTCAGCATTTTGCAAACAGGCACAGCCTCGAGCCTTGGTCTTAATCGTGCTCATTTTTTACTCCAATTGTGATTACTTTACCACATTCTGTGACTGGGGAAGAGCGTCTACCATCTGGCCTGACCACATCATATTGCTAGACTGCACCTTTCCAACTTTCTCCTATGCACCCTACTCTTCTCCTCAGGCCTTCTGCTCCAGTGAGGCCTTCTCCGACTGTTAGGCCCAAATCCTTGAGGCAGCCCACCTCTGTCAGCCTCTATTCAAGAACATATGGAGCTGTGGGCACCGCAGGTTTTACTTGGCTGCCTTGCGTATGTGAGAGGCCAAGTTTAATCCTGTGGGTTGTGGAGATAACACACGGATAGGAAAGGGGGGCAATACAAATAAAGGCATGGCAGCAAGCAAAAGGTTTGCAGCACAGCAATGTCTGTGAAGATAAATTGACTTAAGACCCACTTTGCAGAGGGCTCGCAAACCCAGCACTTTTCAGGTGCCTGTATGCATCTCACAAGGTCCATTCCCACCTAGATCCCCAGGATGGTGGGCTTACCCCACGTCAACACCCACCAGGGGGAGAAAAGGGGGGTGGATCTTCAAGCGTCAGAAGCTTCCCTGTTGGATCCTGTCAAACCCCAGCTCCACGGCTTCTCCTTGGATCAATGTCCCTGCCCAGGAAGAAGACCCTTTGCCCATCAAAACCCCACCCCCACAACCAACCACCTCGAAAGGCCTTTCCTTCAAGCCCCCTGCACGCCTCTCCTCCTCGCCTGCCTGAGGAGTGAGCCAGCCTCGCCGCCGATGCCTTTGATTTAAGGGGTGCTTCTCTCCCGCGCAGGCCGGCCCTGCTCAGGTGCGCTCCCCCCCCCCGCCTCACCTGCGTCTTGGTGGTGAGCTGGATCACCGCCTTCCTGAAGTTGAGCTTGGAGTCGGCGTTGCCCATCCTCCTCCCGCGCCCGGATCCGGGTCCGCTACCTGCTCACTCCCTGCGGCGGGCCAGAGCGAGCCGCCGCCTCCTCCTCCCTCGTCGCTCGTCACCGCTAACAGCCCTCCTCTCCTTCTCCACCTCTTCCTCTCCTCGGCGCTGCGGGCTCCATCCCGGCGGCTTCGCTCACCTGCTTCCCTGGCGGCGGCGGAGGCTGCTACTCTCTCCCTCCCTCCCTGTCAAAGGGAGCCGCGCAGCAGCTGATGCTGTTGCTGGTCCTGATCCCGCCTCCCCTCGTCAGAGAGAGGCGGCTCCTCCTCGCGCCTCCCTCCGTCCCCGGCAGCAGCCGCCCCCTTCCCCTGATCGGGAAAAGCCACGCTAAACCCGCCTCCCTCTCTTCCATCAGCATCGCCTCTCTGGTCCTTAGGCACGCACGCATCATGCATCCCTCCATCTTCTCCATGGGCAAAAAGGCCTTTCTGCTCAGTTGCGGTGACGCCGCCTTCGCACGGCTCCACACTAAAAACATAACCTCTCGGTTTTCCTCCAATTCTGCCCGAAGCGCAGACCGCTCCCTCGCCCCGCCTGCTTCTCATTGCTGCCTCCACCATTTCCCGCGCTCCTGCCTCATGCACACCCCAGGGTTATTTTCCCCCTTTATACCGCCTTGCGGCTCAGTTCTATATTTGTTTTCACACTGTGTTGAGGAGGGCTTCCTCCCCTTAAATGTGTATAAGATTGGAGCCCTACAGTACATCTTCTTCTTAATTATTATCCCAGTGTATCTCATAACTGGTTTTTTGGTCCCTCACACAGAAGAGTCCTATATATATGCATTCACCCTTTCCCCACTTGTTCAACCTATTTATCTACTACATATTTATGTTCCACTATTAATTTATCTGGTCCATCCTCCACTCCCTTCCAAACTTTAAATGGCAAGATTAGCCCGAGAGATTTTGGTATGCATAAAATTGTACCCACCCATCCTATGTTCTGGCAACATAGGCAAAAAGTACACATCCATATTTTTAACAGTGTGCACACAAAGAATACTGTGCATGCAAAAAGTCTGAAGTTCAAATTCTGGCATATCCAAATATGGCTGGGAATTTAGAGAAGGCACTTGTCTGAAACTTGAGAGCTGTCCAAACCCTTTGCACACATCAGATACATTTCAGGGCCTTGGGTTATTTTGTGGAACATAAAGGTATGGTCATACATATAAGAATACTTTTTAAACATAGCTGTACAATTATAAGGAACGGTTTAAGAGATGATTAGCACACTGTCTCAAATTTGCTACCCAAGTCAACTGCCACAGTTTGCTTCAGAATACGGCCAGACCTTTAAAATAGTTCCTTCTGCTCTTTTCCTGTCTTAAAGTATATATGTGGCTGGTGAGGGAATTTGAATTGTCCTCATTAATGACTTTGTGTATAAACCAAGTGTGGTAGCTACTCTTCTTTTGCCATAATAAAAATTGACAAGATATATATTTTCACACACATCCTTCTTAATTTCTACTTTATTCAGTTGCCAGCATTCATCTTTCCTTCTCCCTTCTGTATCACCCACCACTTATATGTTATCTATATTGTAGGCTCATAAATGAAGAGTCCTGCTAAATCAAACCAGAAGCCCATCTAGCCCAGCATCTCGTTCTCACAGTGGTCAACCAGATGCCAATGAGGGCAACAGTACTCTTACCACTTGTAATGCCCAACAACGTATATTCAGAATCACACTGCCTCTGATACTAAAGGCAGTATGTAGCTATCATGGCTGGTAGCCACTGATAACCTTGTCACCCATGAATCAGTCTAAAATCATTTGTAAGTCATCATGTTGTAGATAATTCCATAGTTTAACCACGCACCTTATGAAGAAGTATTTCATTTTGTCTTTCTGAATCTTCCAAAATTCAGGTTAATTGGATGGGCCCTGGTTCTTGTTTTATGAGCAAGGGAGAAAATTTTATCCACTTTCTACACATGAAGGATAATTTTGTAAATATCTGTCATTTCATCTACTTATGTGCCTTTTTTCTAAACTAAAAAGCTTAACATATTGATTCCCCCCCATTGGGGAATTACTCCAACCACTCGATCTTTTTGGTTGCCCTTTTTGGAACTTCGTTTGCAGTATATCAAAAAATATCCTTCTTGGAGTGTGGCGTGGCAATTACAGTATTCAAAGTGCAGCCGGATTTGTAAAACAGCATATTAGCAATTTCATTTTTAATTCCTTTTCCTAATAATCCCTCACATGAGGTGGGTTTTTTTTGTTGTGTTTTTTTTTACAGTTGCCACACGTTAGGTCAACATCTTCATAAAGCTATTTGCAGAATTGGGCCTATAGCTATTGCTTGGTTTCTATAGAGGAACCAAGTGAGCTTTCTCCTAACGCAGGTGTGTGAGGGCTGATCGAGAAAAGGCACTCAGCGCATGCTCAAGGACACTATTTTTTCATTAAAGAAAACTAGATTCTGAACTAAACCCTGGGGAAGGGTGGCGCATCAAATTAAGTCTTTTGCCAGTAGTTGATATGGAATCACCAGCACCCCTCCGCCAAATACAGATGCCTACCCCTGTTCCAAGCTTTCCTACCCTGTCCTCCACCAGGAAGACTATTTGCCACCTCCAATTGCAAGGAACAATCTTGCCTCCCATCTATTTTAATTAATAAGAGACATGGAATCAGATCCCGCCGCCCCCCAGTCGGATTGTTCGTTTATTGCAGCGAGAGCAAGGATTTTCCAAAGGAACAATGGCAAGGAATAATGCCAGCATAAGCTGTCGTGAAAACATTCATCGCTGGCTCTTACCCAACACACACATCCCCAGCGCGCAAAATAAAAGCTGTGCAGGCTGCCGTAGTAAAAAGGACCTCCCACTTATGTGCAGATTCACAGATTTAGGTTTTGTTTTGCTTTTTGACTGGCACCTTCCACGACTCCGCCCCTAGCTCTCTACATCCTGGAGGAATGCAAGCCTCAAATCCGCCTAGCAGCTAAAATGCATCTGGAATTCCTCTGATGAGAAGGATCGGGCGGGTAAAAAAAAAAGGAAAAGGAGGGAGGTCTGCTCTCCCTCTCCCTCCTCCCCTCCTCCCGCGCCCATGTCTTTTGCATGGAATTTTTTTTGCAGCAGTTCCATGCTAGAGGTCTCCACCGAGCTGCACAAATAGGAACTGGCTGCATCGGAAGGTTGCTCTTTCTTTTGTGCATCATCACCCAGCGAAGTCGGCGCAAGTAAGAGAGCCTTTGCAGTCTTCAGGTTCTGGTTCCCGTCCGTAACAAAGACTTAATAATCCCTCCGCCCCCAGCCTGAAAGCAAGATTTTGGCGTGGAGGACAAGAAAAAGGCCGGGGAAATCCGTACGCCACGTCTTCTCTGCTCTCGCTCCCTCGCCAAAGGGCTGATGGAGAGAGAAGGAAGGAAGATGATGCAGAGATAGAGGGAGAGAGAGAGAGAGCTCGATGCGTGCTACTACTGCAGCAGCAGCACTGATCACAATAGCACATCTGCAAAGCCATTGTCCCAACCTTACGTCTGCGCAGGATCAGACCTACTGGCCGATTCCCAGCCTTAAAGCCTGGCGACTGGATCCTGCCTTCACCAGCTTGGGTCTTTGGGAGAAGATCCCCTCTGCTCCCCCTCCCCCAGCTCCGGTCTTTTCTCACCCTTGATTGTATATATCTTTCTGCAGTATCCTCTTTGAGAGCTCAGCCTCTCTCTGCTTTACTGCTCTGTTTTGGATGTTTCCGGAGTAGGAGAGCTAATGCTGAGCGCCGACAGGATGGAAGAGTTTCAAAGCGAGGAAGAGGAACCCTGGTACGACCAACAGGACTTGGAGCAAGGTAAGGAAACGTATAAAAAAACCAAACACTATAGCACCAAAGCCATGACGATCTTCACACAAGGAAAAGGGATAGGGACACAGAAGCAAATAGGCTGGAAAACGCTTCCTAATCCAACTTCTGAAATGCCATTCTCTCCCCGCCTTCAATACCTGAAAGACTGCACCATCTCTCAGGGGAGCTAAACCATCGAATTGTAAATTTCATATTTCACCGTACATCAATGGGGAACTCTTTAAGTTAAAAGGCCTCTGTAGACCCAGGGAAAGATGCATACATTTTGCCCCAAGTTATCCAAATGGGAAAAATACGTCATCATGTCATTAGTGTTAGTGGTGTTAGACCTCTGCAAAACTGGTCACGGCACTTGATTTGAGTCCAACTGTTTAGCTGTTAATGCTAATTTATATTAGATTAAGTCATGTTGGTTACAGACAATTGTAAATCAGTAAGAACTGACTTGTACGGAAATGGGAGAGAGATATAATGAGAATGGAGAAAGTTTTCAGTTGCAAACAACCAAAAGTAAGTGAACCATATTATTTTTTTTGAAAGATAGAAATTTGTTTTGTACGTTTCTTTTTAAATGAGCAGCCACAAATTTATGCTGTATGCTTTCAATATTTGCTGTATGAGCTGCAGTGAGCTGCATTTTAAAAATCAAATTATTATTTGTGTCAAAATCTTACTGACCACTAGGAAATCTCTCCTTTTCTTATATGAGAGCCCCAAAAATGAACCTTCCTATGCTCAGTAAAATAAAGGAATTGAAGATAAACCTACAACTGTAATATTGAATTAAATGCAGACATGACAGTTGGTGAGATAATCTCTTCAACTAATAGCTTCACATGGATGCTGTTGGAACGTAAGTTTTCATAACTTCAGTTGCGCAGGAGGAAATGAGAAAAGACTAAACATTCCATTTACATCATCACACACTTAAACTAATAAAATATACGCAGCCTAGATATTAGAGGTGCAAAACATTCATGAAACTGGAGATCAAATCAATACCCTTGTATTGTGGAGAGAGAGCCATAGCTAAGCATTTTATATCCCAATGAATTAAGCATGTCCTTAACTCTTAGATGTACTTTGGCCAGGTTGTGGCCTTACATTTGGGGGATGGGGTGTTTCAACTTGCTCCATCCCATCAAAAGGAAGGCAGGATCCTAAGATGGAATGCAAAAGTGAGGATTCTGTGTAGGGAATCTAGGTTAAAACAATTGACTTGATCCTGAACAGCATACAACTTGACCTCAATTTCTTGAGGCAGCATCAAGAAAGTAAATACGATATATTCCCACCCCCCAAAAAGTGAGGTCACTATGAGGGCTTGCTTGGTGACACTGAACCCAAAGTGTGACAGTGTTCAAGAACTTATGCTTGCTTATGTGAATGTGAAGGGAGTTTGAATAATATGAAAAGAACTGATGCTTCCAGAGGATGAAAACAATTTGGAGAGCTACCATATCCTTGCATACCATTTTAAAAACTTGAGCCAACACCTAAGTGCCTAGGATGGGAGCAAGCCAACAGTAACATTAGCATAACATCAGTAAACATAATTTTCCACTGGCATTGCAGGTGGTGTTCCATGCTGATAAACTGTCACAGTTATTGAGGAACAGGGTCCAGGAAAATAGTGGTTGTAATAAAGAAGCTTAAATCAACTAGGAATATGAACATGGAGAAGATGTTGAGGTCTGCTATTGCTTAATAACTACAACCACAGTTAATATGTACAATACACAAAGCTGACAAGTACTTACAGTATTATATTCCGTGCAACTGCATTGAAGCGGAATAGTGTCTGGTTGATTACTGTCTCTTAAGTTTAACACATTATTGCAGGCTTGTCGTTTTTTTAGTTGGGAAATGCAGAAGCTTTTAAAAGGTGCAGAGTGTGTTATGCATTGCTAAGAGGATCAGGATGTGAGCCTTCTGGGGGTCACGGAGGCAAGGTAATATTTGGCAGCAGATTCAGACAGGGTGAGTGACCTTTCCTGCAGGTTAAAATGCTGAAACTGCTGAAGGCAAAGTAATGTGGGAATGACATCGGTCTTGATGACTCCAGTTTATAATGTGATTTTGCTCGGTTATCAAAAGTGTTCTTTATGTAGGAATAATAAAAGCTGCCTCCCAAGCAGTCAGTACTTTAAGTAGGAATTCAGCAAAGGGTTATTATGATCACTAACCACTTAGCTACTGGTTCATTATACCCACATTCTAAGCATAATATCTCCATACAGTACTAGGTTCTTTTCTTTTCTCTGAATTTCCAGCTGTTTGGATATTCACGTCTCTGCCTCAGTAAGTTTGCTTTCATGAACTATCAGTTTAGTTATGTCTTTCACTGCCTAGAGACTTCACATGAGGCAGTTGTGAAGTACTGTATTAACAAATAATAAGTTCTAGGGTTTCCCCCCTTTTCATTAATTATGTCACTTATCTAAAAGCCATGTTTGAATGATGCACATTGATCCCTCTTGCTCTCTCCTTGTAATACAGGGTATTTTGTATTCTACATGGTAAAGTCAACTGGTAGCCTATGTGGAATGATGAAATAGCAGCTTCTAGTTGTAATATCAGCTTCTGTTTGTAAGGGAAAACAGCTTTCTTTCCCTTGTGGTGTTGAAAATTAAATGAAGAATGTCTTTTGAATTCTGAAGTACACTGCACATGGCCTTGCTCTTCGCCTGACCATCCTCCTCCTCCTCTCCTTGCCCTTAAATGTATACCAGTCAAGAACATTTCTCTCCAATGCAAGGCTTCATTTAAAACTAAACTGGAAGCAATTTGGAGAGTATGTGCAAATTTGAGATCTACACACTCTTTGCAGAGTTCCTGTTCCTGAATATAACAGAAGCCTACACCCTTGACTCTAATAATTTAAGCGGCGTGTTTACTTACTGTTTATGTTATTGTCTGAGAAATACTAGTTCCTTAAGAAAGGGGGATTAGACTAGTTGACTTTCAGGTTTATTTCAGCTCTTTGCTTTTAGAATGCTTTTCATAGAAAAAAACTACTGGGTATATTAAGTGATTTCAGATTTAGCAGTATGACTGAGCCTTTTTCAGGTAATATCAGCTTCTGTGTATAGTTTCAGATTTAATTCAGCCATTGAACTTGATGAATATTGACAAATGGGTTTATTTTGTTTCCAGCAGTAAGATTTTGTAGCTTTTTTATTTTTAGACATGCTTTTATTGTTGACAAACAGCTGGTGATGGCACTGTAATACTACACTTAAAACAATGCCACTAAATTGTAGCTTATGTTGCTTTAATGCTTGCAAAGAACAGTCTATAGAAAAAACCGGTTTGGCAGAGCGAGAGTGTAAACACGGATTTTGTTTAATCAGAAACCCTTTTCCCATTTGCTGAAGACATGCGTTGTGTGGCCTTGTTCCTTTAAGGAAGTCCTGCAATTGGAATGCATGAATGAAAGTAGAGCTGTGGAGAGAAGTGGAGACAATGAGCCTTGTTTCTGGCAGCTGGAACATGATGATGTGGCTGTACTGACATAATGCAGTAACTTCCCAAGGAATGTTTGCTATGAGAGCTCAAGGGAGTGAACTAGGAAACCTAAACTATAAAGAATCAGGGGAATATTTCTACTTCTTGGCTTATTATTTAGTTCAGAATAAATATACCAGAAGAGAATTGCAGTCACAGGCCAAATAGCCTGCCTAGCTGCTATGGCTCAGCAGGCATGATGTTCATGCAAGTGATATACACAATTATTTCATTTTTTTCATTGATGTTTTACATTTCTACTCTCTCTCTCTAAGATGCTTAGGGTGATGTGATTGGCCCCCCATTTTCCCTTATAACAACTCTGAGTTGGATTAGGCTAAGACATAGTGATTGTCCCAGGCTTATCAACTGAGAGTCATGGTTTAACATGGATTTTAATTACTTGCATGCGCACGCACATACACACACACACACGCATATCTGCCATTGTTTGTTTCCATTGTGATCCTTGGTGGTAAACAAGGAGGAGGAATATAGTCAACAGCCATTTAACGGGGGTGGGAGGGCATCTGTACTTACTTTCAGAAATAACAATAGTTTGCTCCAGGAGTGAAGTACTTCACATCCGTTCTGCTTGCACTGCTGTTCTTCTCACCTGTTCCCCACCCCCTTCCTAAGCTGAGAATAAACCACGTAGTAACTGGTACATAGAGCATGTAAGAAAGGATTCTTCTTTGCATTATGTGATGTGTGAGTTAGGATGAAGGAGGCTGCATTGCAAAACAAATCTGCATTGCAAAACAAATCTACCTAAGTATTTCTCCTACCTGGGAAGACAGAACTCGTTACAGGCTTCTCCCAAGTCTTTTTATGTGTTGCATTTGGGGACAAATCAACGTATGGAGGGAAAGGTTGCAGATAGGAGTAGAGCCAGCAGGCATGATCCCAACTTCCGTCTGTTTAAGGGTCCTGTTTGTCCTGTTTGAACATGGATAGGCTCTTGTATGCTTGACTGGGAAACCTTCATTTTTCCAGGATACTAGATGTTAAGCACTTTCAGGTATATTTGCGTAGATTCCATTCATTTGGGACCCATGAGTTCATGGAAGTCCAGGAAAGGACCAGCAGGTGTTTGCTGACCACCTGTACAGCACTACTGACTTTCAGCTATGCAAAGAGAAGCAGCAACAAATTACTGCTAACCAAACATAAACAGTAGGGAAATACCTAATAGTAGCTCCAGCAGTAAACCAGGCATGAACTGCTAATGCAAACATACCATATGTGTACACTTAAGCCATATAATGTTAATGCCCACTCCAGAGCACAAATCTAAGCATTCTTCTCTCTCAGGATCCGTAGTCTGTTTAGGCAACTTGTCACTTGTTTTGCTCACATGTAACAACACAAAATGATGTTACTGTCTTTCACTGTGGGCTCCGGCATTCATTATGCTTCATCCTTGTACCAAGATGTAACTGCTGCACTTTCCACTAGGTGTCTATAAATCTTTTGATACAGAAGAGTAGCTGTTAACTGCAAAAGTTTTTCAAAGTACTGTATTCATTTAAAGGGCTTCAAAGGGATAATTGCAATGTAATATGTTACTTGACGGTAACTAACCTGGAGTGTGTTGCAGTGACGAAGAATGCGCAGTTACATCCTGTGTCTTCAGCATTGCTAATACTCCAGTTGTTGTTTTTTAAGAATCTGAACATTTTCATAGAGTTTCTGGGCAAATGTATTCAACATGTAAATCAGCAGGTTTGCCACTCATATGAAATGTGAATATATCTTAAAACTTGAACAATTTTTTAAAAAAGTATATTGCTAGATGAGGAGGTTGATAAAAACGACCCGGTTGGCAAGAAAAGATTGTTGGATTATGTAAAACCATCCTAATCACAACTTTAGGTAATAATAAAATTACTTTATTGCACTAGCCAAAGACCATGGCATCATTCTCAAAGGGAACAAAAAGAAAAGCAATAAAAACCATAAAAACATCAGGCACTGCAGATACAATAAACCACGATCACATCTCCTAAAAATTATTTGTTGCATACGATAGAATAGCAGGGGGTTCTCAGATAGAATATGCCAGCTTAAATGTCCGAATCACCTTTGCAATTGACCGCTATTTTATCTAGTTCTTTTCTCCTGATCTTCTTAGCTGCCAATGCATAGAGTGCTACTTTATAAGTTACGAAGTCATCAGTATCACTCAGCAGCCATTTCACCCTTTCCACCCTGTTTGAGTGTGTTCCATTCATAAGCAGGGGTTTTATAAATCGATCTCCTGGTTCTATATGTAGTGGGCATTGCAATAAATAGAGGTTGCCCACACAGACAAACTCTCTCCTTGTACTGTACTTTGCCGTACCGACCATCCACCACCGCCGAGGGCATCGATTGGAATCGTAATTCTGTAAAAGCGATTCTTAGTATGGTAAGTGGGAGCTTTGTCAAATAATTAGCTCAGATGTGCTCCGTTTTGATAAGTGGGAACCATGGTGAACTTTTGGTAGAGACAATTGTGGTTAAATCCCTTTCTGCATCGGACCTGAAGAGACAATCTCTTAAGTGCCTCTTATCCATCCATCTTCATGATCACCTGAAGATCTTGGGTCAAGAGGCATTGGATGCCATCCTTCCAACATTTGGTCTGTTCCTGCTCTGTGTGGGAAAATCTCTCCTCTGAGAGAGATTCAAGTCTTTTCACATAGTTTAGACACAGATAGTCAATTCTAGCCCATATTGCACAACTTTAGGTAATTCACCAGAGCATTGCTACCTCATGGCTTGCCCAGAAATTTCTCAGCCAGATTAGTCAGTTAGAAATACATAGTTTAATTAAATTTACACAAGACCCTTCTTTTTCCCCCCATAATGCATTTTAGGCAATGAACTTGGCCAGCCTTATTGCTAAAGCTGGGGTGTATGTTTTGTTTGATTAGTGGGGAGGCTTTTGGGGTGGAGTTGATAGGGGCCTAAAACTTTCTGCAGTGTCTCTCTCTGCACCCAGTTAACCACTCTGAAATTCAAGTCCGTACATTGCTGGGAATTCAGAAATACATGGGTTATTTTATTGGCTAGGTTTTGTAAACAAATGTACAATAACTCTTATTTCTGACATGGCCAGAAATACTTATCAGATACACCAGACTGAAGCATTGTGGATAAAGAAGGGAATGAAAAAGGTCACTCCATGGAGTGGCAGAAAGCTTCCCAACTTGTCTCATAAATCTGGTTGTGCTGCTCTGAAGAAGCGTGATGCAGATTGCCTGGCACTGTGGGCTGTACCGCTGTGATTGGCTGGATGTTGTTTGACCCAAAATCTGCGCAGTCAGAAGGATGCTGCTGGCTATCTCTGCAGTATCTGAAGCTCTTAATTATTTATGAGTCTAAACAAGCAGGTGTGTTCAGCTAGTGGAAACTTTTTCTCCTAACTGCTGAGCTGCCATACTGCTAAACCAGTGGCCTGTGTAAGATGCAGAGGCAAATATTATATTTAGTTATTAAATTTAGAGCAGGGAAACCCTTTTGAACCCAAGGGCCAGAGGCCAAAGTAGATGGTGGAGCAATTAATGTGATTTTTTTCTTTGTACGGTAGGCTACTTTCTTCGCACACGCACATCCCTCTCTATCTTTCATTCAAGCAAGCAACTTGAGTTCAAGGACATACTGCAGCCAGGAAAAACCACTCGAGGAAGATGTGGAGGAGGACTGGTGAGGGGTGTACCCTGAGGAGAGTTCAGAGGGCCAGCTATGGAGGCATAAAATGCTACATTTGGCCCTCGCTTGGTTTTAGAGCCTCTTCCAGCATTAAAAATAAAAATAAAAAATTGTGGGCACAGAAGTGCTTCATGAATAATTTCCACAGTTAAATTGTATTATAGGAAATACTAATGCAATCAGGCTTAAGTAGGGCTGGACGATATCAGCTTTTTGACGATATACCGAGATGTTGAAAAAACTGCATTGGCCTCTGCCCACGAGGCACCTGGTGAAACTGCCCCAGCTTTCACCTCTCACCTCACAACTCATTGTGTCCTCTTCATTTTGTAGCAGTATTCACATGGATTAAAAATGTAATGTGGAAAGGCAGCCCCTTCCATGGACTAGATTCTGGTCACTGGAACATGTCAAGGAGATTCCGAAATTGATTTTCTTAAAGGAAAGAAAAATCCACACACACCCCGCCAAATCTCCTGGAGAAAGGGAATTATTTATGCACAGATTGATCTGTAACTTCCTGTGAGAACCTCCTATGGAAGATCTTTTTAGCACTTGGTTCCACATGCAGGAGAGAGTAGAATTAGAAGGAAATTGCAGTTAGAAAGTCAAGCCAGTGGGTGATTTGAGGGCAGGGGAGAAGCAAAATGGATCCTCTGAACCTTGGAATGGCCACCTGGCTGCAGATGTTTCTCCCTGTCTAATCTATAAATAGAAAAATTTGCCTCATGAATCCTAAATGTCATTCCAACCCTAGCGACATAGACTTGTATTAGTCATTTGTGGCACGTCAGCAGCCTAGGAGGAGGGGGGGAAAGCAATTTGTTTTGCAACTTAGAAAAACCTTCCTGAATACCTGCCTGAAATTATTTTTTAAATGGGCACAATCCAGCACTCCTGTTGGAATCAATGAGATTGGAAATCAAAGGGTCTTACATTCTGCCAGATCACAACCTCTGCTAAATTGCCAATATCATCTTTCAGTAATGGAGTATTTTGCTGCTGCTTCTTTTTCATTTAAGCTATCATTTTTTGATAGCTGATAGTTTTAGCCTTTTATCATATGACTGGTCTTCTATACCTATTAATATTTCAATATTTCTCTGTTTTACTCCCTTTAATAGTGAAGTCAGGTGCTGAGGGTCAACAGAATTGGAGCCCAAAGGGGAGCCATTAGGAAACAAGATGGGGGAGGTATCTGCATCCTCAGGGAAACCCCAAGATTTGCAAAACTAAGTCTCCCCCCCCCCTTTTTTTAAAGTGGCAGCCTCTCTCCCCCCCAAAACAGTCCAAGGACTTTGTAGCCACAGAACACTGAGAGTCCAGTTGCAAAAGAAAACCTGGGAAGGGCAAGTGAGGTATAGAAGTTGGAGGAAAGGGATGGCTAGCTGGCTGTTCCTGTTAGGAGATAACGATATACTGCAACATTTTGGTTGCAGGTCCCACTTGTTCCTTACTATTGGTCACCATGCTTGTGTCTTTACTGTGCCACTATCATACTACATGAAGCATGAAGGGGATTCTTATGTGCGTTTGAAGTAAATGGGTACATGGCTCCGAAGGAAGGTGCGGTTTGGAACGGTGCTCTTGAGAATGAATAGTAATGGCTCTGCACCATTGGCTCCTTCCCAGAGAATTATTATTATTTCTGCTCAGTCACCTACACAGAGTGCAGCAGTGAGTGCAAAGGATTATGGGGACTAGGTAGCCTGTTTCTAAAGACCTGAACAACACAGATAATGAGCTGGTTATGTTGAGGGCTGAAGAATAAAGCAACCATGAGGTCGGTCAGGATCCCCAGCTTCGTATGACGCACGGATGCAGAAAGGAGTTTGGGAGTTTCTGCAGTGCAGCTCCTTCCCACATGACTACGGTAATGTAAGAAGCTCCAGGCCACATGGGAGGTGGGTGTTCTGCGTCTCCTCCCCACACCAGCAGGATTCCTCCTGGAATCTAGGACAGAAGCTGGCGCAGGAACAGGCTGCAGCAGGGGCTCCTCTTATGTGCCCAAGTCTTCGGATGCTCTCTTCATGGTGCAGGAAGGAGCAGGCTGAACCACAAGAAGTGGCTCTGTGTTAACAATAACCCAGATTCCCAGTGTTCACGTAGATGTTTATGCCTCTTGATTGCTCTACCTTAGTGTATCTCTGAAAGGTAGCTGCAAGCACAGACTCTTCCTGATTTAGTAAGAGTATGCAAGGATCACCCAGGTTGTAGACAAGTATGAGGACAGGGAAAAGGTTATTTATTGTTGGCAAAATGCTGGGAAATACATACGCTTCAGGTTGCATACGCTTCAGGTTACAGACTCTGCTAACCCAGAAATAGTACCTCGGGTTAAGAACTTTGCTTCAGGCTGAGAACAGAAATTGTGCCCCGGCAGTGCAGCGGCAGCAGGAGGCCCCATTAGCTAAAGCGGTGCTTCAGGTTAAGAACAGTTTCAGGTTAAGGATAGACCTCCGGAATGAATTAAGTACTTAACCTGAGGTACCACTGTAAATGCTTTATGTTAGGCTACTCCGAAGAAGACCGGGCATCTTAGAATATCCTGGGGCAGTAAAAATGCTCAAGGAGCGTGGTCTGGATGGTGCCCTTTGCACGTCTTGCAGAAGAGTTCTTTCCCAGGGAACACAGGCCCATAAACTTAAAGAGATTTAAACTGGATTAAAGTATCATGGTGTTGACTTGTGGGAAGCAGAAGTTACAAATCAGACTGAGCCACTCTCCATTTTGATTCTGATGTAGTTGGTCAGGAACCTATTTGAGAGTAGATTGACATGATTTACATATTGTTGCACTAAGAACAAAGGAAGAGTCTGTGAAAATGATTCCTAGGCTTTATGCTTACCTGCTGCTACAGAGGGCTGAAAAGTGGTGTGGCCCATGATAGAGACAAGCAGGTTCTCCAGACACTAATGAGTGGCTGCCGATTGAACAGCAGGTTCTTTTCCTTCATGCAACTATGTACTTTGCTATCCACATACTTTTAAGTGGCTGCATTGGCGAGAGGAGATTTTTTAAATTATACTTTTCTTTATGGGGAGGCTGATGAGAGGAGAGGAGTGCTTTGTGGTTTAACTAAAGAGAAACTGATTTGGGGGGGATCTAGTTATGGGCTTAGATACATTAAGGGAGGGTTTATCTATAGATTATCTGAGAAATCAACTGGTTAGCTTTCTGAGAAATAGGTATTGTTGTTGCAGCCAAAAAAAAAAGAAGTGACCTCAGACAAGTGGCCTGGTGTTTGGAGGACCAGGCTCTTGCTTGTCTCTTTGCCTCATTGGTTTGCCTTCTATGAAATGGGTATTGTGTTGCAGTAGGCAAATGGGGTGCTTCAATGAATTGCTTAGTGTTTTCAGCTCAGAGAGAGAGAGAGGGGAAAAAAATAGCCTGTGCATTGTAACTTCTCAGCTTCCACATCTGTAAAATGGGTAATTTTTTTTGTAGAAAGACTTCTGCCTCCTTAATTCCTCGATCATACCATGTGTGACTTCATTCAACTCAGTAGCATGGCTCATTTTCTTGAGGCATCTATCTGCTCTTCGTGTATGTTTTTTCTGCTTACTGTTCGTAGCACAGTTGTCGTCTGGATTGCCTTTCATTTTTGGGGTCTTGATATCATGTGTGGATAAGCATTGCCCTTGTGTTTTTATGGGGGTGGGGTGCTGCCAACTGGTCAAGCTCTGCCTCTTATCTTTAACATGCCAAACTCAGTGGTTGTATTTGTAACAACTTCACTTTGGGAGGCACCGGCTGCCACTGCGTTCTTGATTCCTGAACTGATGCTCTGTTTTCCAAAATTAATCTTGTTGTTATTGTTTAGTCGTTTAGTCGTGTCCGACTCTTCGTGACCCCATGGACCAGAGCACGCCAGGCACTTCTGTCTTCCACTGCCTCCCGCAGTCAAACTCATGCTGGTAGCTTCACGAACACTATCCAGCCATCTCGTCCTCTGCCGTCCCCTTCTCCTTGTGCCCTCCATCTTTCCCAGCATCAGGGTCTTTTCCAGGGAGTCTTCTCTTCTCCTGAGGTGGCCAAAGTATTGGAGCCTCAGCTTCAGGATTGTCCTTCCAGTGAGCACTCAGGGCTGATTTCCTGAAGAATGGAGAGGTTTGATCTTCTTGCAGTCCATGGGACTCTCAAGAGTCTCCTCCAGCACCATAATTCAAAAGCATCAATTCTTCGGCCTTCTTTATGGTCCAGCTCTCACTTCCATACATCACTACTGGGAAAACCATAGCTTTTACTATACGGATCTTTGTTGGCATGGTGATGTCTCTACTTTTTAAGATGCTATCTAGGTTTGTCATTGCTTTTCTCCCAAGAAGCAGGCGTCTTTTAATTTCGTGGCTGCTGTCACCAAATGAATCTTAGGGACAATTTAAATGTTCAGCAAAATCAAGCAGTAAAACGTTCCCTTGTTGTACCACACTTGACTCAGGTGTGCAAAGCAAAATGCTTTTTTTGAATGTGTGGAGACTTTTTGTCATGGGATATCGTTCGGACTGGCAAAGCCCCTCCTTAGCCAGTTGAAATAACCAACAAGGACAAATTCCACTTCTTAATTCTACTTAAGCTGGCCTTTTAGTACCACAATACTAACATGGTTTCTTTATTTGCCATTGAGTTGTTGTCAAATGCTTGAAAAATTGTATTTTAGTATGTATAATATATCTAGTGCTTGTGTATGTATATATGTAATATAATATAATATCTACACAGAGGTGGATTAAATGGGCAGCTGGCGATTAAAGTGTGTTGTGTAGACCTTCATCATTTTACACTGATGGTTATGAAATCCACAATTTGTTCAGTTGTAAAGAAAGGCTAGCAATCTCAACTCTGGTTAGCTTAGTCTGGAGTCATGAGTGTTACATTTCCAGAGGAGTAGACATGTTAAAACTTGCAGCAAAAGCTACAGAGAGGCTTGTGGCACCTTAAAGGCTAGTTGCCTAACCTAGAGTCCTCGTCAAGTTGCCGTGGAGCAGAGGAATGATGAATGAAGGTCATGAGGTTCCTAAAAAGCATGCCGCAAAAAGCTTCCTGACACTGTATAAATTTTAAAAAGGTTTAAAATCTCTGGAGGTTGAAACACAAGAAGTTAAAGGCAGAGATAAACCATTAAATCTCCCTTCTTTGGCTTGAAAGACCTGCAAACAAAATGTGGCTTTGGAGGCCAGTATTACCTGAGACGTCAAAAATGCCCAAAGTAAGCCCTCTCAGGACATAGGAGATGATATCAGATAATGTGTCATGGCCTCCTTAAGCACACTTACGAAAGCAATTGAGATCTGAACAGCAAGAGTCTTGGAAACATCTACTGATCACATAAGTTGTCTCAGACCAAGGAGAGAAGACAGACTCAAAAGGCTAAACAAAGCAACAAGCATTGGTAGATAAGGTGAGCAATATTTTCATGGAAGATGCAGACACTGTACTGTCTTCACTTTGGAGGCTTCAAAAAAGGAGCTGAAAATAATGATTTTCTTTCTTACCACCTGCATTAAAGAAGCTTTAGCAATGGAACACGCAACTGGGATAAGAGCAGTCTCTACGGGCCTCTTTTGACATTGTTATGTTTCTGCGTTTTCACGACAAGAAAACTATTAAGAAAGAGCAGCGACTGTTAAAGCATGAAGTTGAAAGCATGAAGGGTATTGTATTTCAGTATTTCAAGGTCTCTCTGTGGAAATGATGCATAAGTCCAAAATTATGAACTCATCACAGTCCTAATAGTTGAAGGATTACAACAATGAGGGGGACTTGCTCTGTTGTGCTGAAGTGTGTGGTGCTCTGAAGTGTGTGGTGGCAATAAGCCCCAGATTAACCATTTTTACAAGTTTAAAGGACAAAAAGAAGAACTGAGGCAGCCCCCAGATTGTATCATACAGGAATCCAAAGGAGCTTGCTTTCTGAAACAGACCCACAGCCCAAACTGAGTCATGATTTGCTGAGACCAAATTGAATCCAAGTTATGTGGATTCCTCCCTCATCCCTAAAGGCAACTGAAAACCTCTGAATATAACCAATTGTGTTTTGAACAAACCACGGTTATAGGTGAAAAAAAATGAGAATTTGAAAAGGTTACTCGAAAAAATAGTGAAATGGAACGACTTTTGAAAGATGGCATTAGAATCATTTGTAACATCTCAGTAAGATTCGAGTGCTAATAACATGGTATGTTTGAAAAGCCGAATTTATTCTGAAACAAGAGATATGGACAAGCTTACATCCTTGGTGGTAGTTCAAAGGAGAACTGTTTAAAAGTTGTGGCATTTTGGTACAATACCTGAGAGCCTTAAACACTTTATAAAGATGGAGATGCTTGGAATGTCCTGGTGTTCTTGGTTACTCACTTGAATTTCTGGTGGCCTTGGCTAGCAATTCAGTGAGCTTTTCCAGCTGGATGAAAAGGTCTCTGCCTAAGGCGATCATTTTGAATTGATTTTAAACCACTGTTCAGTTGTTTTTTGTACTGTTTTTAAAACGATGTTTAGCTTGTCTTATGGTAAGCATGGAAATCGCCTGGTGACACATGTAAAGGTGATTCATAAATTAATAAATAATAATAATTCTGGATATGTGTCCTTCACAGAAAGTACAGTGGTTGGAATTACAGTCACTAGCTATACTGGTTGGGATATGTAAATCAAAAGATAACTACCTGGCTTTATAAAATAAGCTAGATGCTCACAGTTTAATGATGAAAATCATCTAAACCATTAAAAGAGACAGATTAGATTTATAAATTATAGGGGATATTCTAAAGATGGACAAACTAAATCTGGGGTCAAAATAGATTATTTTATAGCAAAATTTTGGCCTATGATTGGAGAATGCTCGAGCCAATATTCATATATATCTATCTATCATCTATCTATCTATCAATCATCTATCTACAGTGGTGCCCCGCAAGACGAATGCCTCGCAAGACGGAAAAACCGCTAGACGAAAGGGTTTTCCGTTTTGAAGTTGCTTCGCAGGACGAATTCCCCTATGGGCTTGCTTTGCAAGACGAAAATACCTTGCGAGTCTAGAAATTTTTTTTTCGCTTTCCCCCCCCTTTATCTAATCTGCTAAGCCTTTAATAGCCTTTAATAGCCTTTTAGCAGCTAATCCCCTAAGCCTTTAAGCCTTTAATAGCCGCTAAACAGCTGATAGCGCTAATAGCGCTAATCCGTCAATGGGCTTGCTTCGCAAGACGAAAAAACCGCTAGACGAAGACTCTTGCGGAACGGATTAATTTCGTCTTGCGAGGCACCACTGTATATCTATCTATCTATTCCTGAGATTAGTCCTGAGAGATATAGAAGGATTTATTTGAATTAAACCTTAATTCAATATAGAGTTTGATTAATGGATGAATTAAACAAGGATTTAGTCAGCCCTTTCCTTGGTGGGATAAGGAACAGAAGGGACAACGATAGGATTGGTTAATTCTTTCCTTGTGTTGCATTTTTTGTGAAGGAACAATTAATATATATTTTTTTAAGTTGCCCTAGAGCTGATCTGATTGTGACAAATGTGTTGGGTCACCCAGAGCAATCTCTGTCACCATGGCAACATGGTTCCTGAGCTGGTGTTATTTCATTCTACAGTGACTTTCTGGCTTGCTTCCGGCTTTGTGTTTTCTTAACTGCAAGGCTATCTGCCCTCCTTGTTGCTCTCGACATAATTTGTCTTAACTGCTCTGACAAAAGACAGCTGCTAGAACTCCTCCTTCAAGACATCTTGAATAATATTTAACATATTTATTCCAAATCTGCCTGTATGTTTGTGTAGAAGTGCTAATACTTTTGATTTTACAGAAAAATTGCAGTGATTTTCCCAAGGTGACCCTGTAGTAAGGTGACCCTCTTCGTAGATGGACTTAGGATTGCAGCCTCCTAAATCCCACTGGATTTAGTTGGACATACTTCTGGGTAAATATGAGTAGGATTGCACTATTAATTAAGCATGTTACCTGCTTGGTAGCTGAATTAATGGTCCCCCATAACTTGCATGTGTGGTTCGTATCTACCACATGCATTCGATATTATGAACCTGGCTCAGTTCGGACAAACCACCCTCCTCCTTGTTGAACTTCTTTTGTTTCAGCAGGCCTTTTAAGTAACTTTTCCGATTTTGTAGTTAGTTAGTTTAATCTTTATTGTAGCATTTTAACCTTATGGTACACTGGTTAGAGATTAAAGCGTTAAACCTGTGTATAAATGCTTGAAGTAAAATAGCTGAAAACAAAATATGCCATATCAGTTCTGATGGTGCTGTGTGACAGGCCCAGTTTGGACAATTGTATCTAGGCTTAAGCAGAAATAAGCATAAGTCTTGGGGCTGCGAGCTCTGTCCCCTTCCTTCCCTCTGTTTTTCTTGGTGTACAGTGATGAGCCAGGAAGTCTTCAGTTAACTATAATTTTCCATTTTATCTGAACCAGAAAACTGTTTACTATGTCATGACTTAAAGCCATAGTTTGACGCTGGTTTAAGAATATGGCATTTCCCAAAGCTGGTAGTTTTTCCACTTGGATGAATAGTAAATTATGCTTAATTGAAGGCTCAGCGCAGTGCACTGAGAAGGGATGGAACTGTATGCACATGCATTTTGAAACACGAGAGGAAAACATTGAGAGGAAAGGGAAATATATGCATTGCTGACTTACCTATGAAGCCTTGGCTCTTTTACCACCTTAAAAATAAGAAATGCATTACGTTTAACTTAGGCTGCAGTTCACACATAAAACACCACTGTTTAGAGTACAAATGAATTAAAAATATATAAAATCTTTCCTGTTATTCACGATTACGAGTATACCATACCTTGTGTTGGAAATGAAATGTTTAGCTGATTAAGTAACTAATTGTGCTTTTTGCAAGTTGGCAAAAATGAAGCAAAAGTTTGCCATGGATGATAAATGAAAGAGGGCTTTTTAAAAAAAACATTTTTTATGGGAAGTTGTTCAGGGAAGGAGTGTTCATACCTTTTAAGTAGAAATCAGAGGGGGGGAATATGTCTCCCTCCTGATGTTAAAAGGTAAAGACCTTAAAATTCTTATAAGAAAAGGTACCCCTGACCGTTAGGTCCAGTTGTGGATGACTCTGGGGTTGCGTGCTCATCTCACTCTGTAGGCCGAGGGAGCCGGCGTTTGTCTGCAGACAGCTTCCGGGTCATGTGGCCAGCATCCGCTTCTGGCAAACCAGAGCAGCGCACGGAAACACCGTTTACCTTCCTGCCAGAGCGGTTCCTATTTATCTACTTGCACTTGATGTGCTTTTGAACTGCTAGGTGGGCAGGAGCTGGGACTGAACAATAGGAGCTCACCCCATCGCAGGGATTCAAACTGCTGACCTTCCGATCGGCAAACCCTAGGCTCTGTGGTTTAGACCACAGCACCACCTGCGTCTCCTGATGTTACTGGACTACAACTCCTATCAGCCCTGATCACTGGCCATGCAGGCTGGGGCTGATGGGAGTAAGAGGATTCATACCTTCAAGTAGGAGTGCCTGGCACAATAGGGCAGTGGCGTGGAGCCACCCTCCTAACTACTGGCATTGCTGCTGGTGTACCCACAACGCCATAACCTCACTACCCCTCGGCCTCCACCCTGTCTAGGACACAGCTCATACACTTTTAATTCCTCACATGCTGTTGCTGGTGTCTGTGGGTGCAGAGTTCCTAGTTGTGTAGAAGCAAATGTGATTGTTTAAAGCAGCAGTTCTTTAAGATGTTACTTCAAAATGAAAAACCTCATTGCCTCCCGATGAAGACGTCCTCCGTCGCAGAAAAGAATAATAATTTTCCTACGCTTTTTTTCTCTTATACCTTTTACAGCTCCTGCAAAAAAATTACTAGTTTTTAAAACCATGATGCTGGATCCCGGGCTTTCCTAATCCACTTAACTCAACCCCAGCAAATTAAATTGGAAGCCATATGGTGGGACAAGGCTGACGTAATCCTTGGATATGCAGGGAGAACTCTGCTCTTTGTTACCTGGAGTAAGGCAGCACAAATGTTTCTGGGTCTATCAGCTTCCAAATAATAATTAAAAAAAGATGACATAGAAGAAGAAGAGTACATCAGTCACAGCCCAAGGAGCTAATGAATATGACATTTCCCTTTTGACACAAGCTGGAACATATTATTTTCCTCTTCCAGTACTAACCCCTCTTTGTCACGCTTCCAATCTCTTGGGGGCATTTTGAAACCTGGAGGTGGCTCCTATAAAAATCTCTCTACCCGTAAATGCAATCCGCTCTTAATCAGACCCATTCAGGGAGTGCAGCTGCCAGACCAGGTCATTCCGCATCGTTATGATTATTAAAATTAAGAGCTTGTCACTTCTCAGAGTTCACCCTGGGGTATAGTGTTCAGAGCCGGAAATCGGGTTCCCGAGGAATAATCAACATATATAACAAGGAGCTTAGGAATACATCTAAAGCCCTTGGCCAGCCTCTGGGTGTAATTTGGTGCTTCTCTCGTACTTCTTGTCAGGTTTTAAGCAGGGAAGGACAATTGGGAAAAGCCGAATCTGATTACTAATTAACAATTCTATATTTGCATACTGTTGCAAATGCAGTGCAGGACACATGCACCCAGATTTAGTTATTTCCCTCCATTCTAGCATATTCAAATCCCACAATCAATAGGCCCAGTGGGCTTAATTATACAAATAGTATCGCCTTGTGTGCCTTTACAGAGGGTAGCCCTCCATTTGAAGGGCTGTCCAGTCCAAGACGCAGTAAGGGACGCGGGTGGCGCTGTGGGTTAAACCACAGAGCCTAGGACTTGCCGATCAGAAGGTCGGCAGTTCGAAACCCTGCGACAGGGTGAGCTCCCGTTGCTCAGTCCCTGCTCCTGCCAACCTAGCAGTTCGAAAGCACAAAGTGCAAGTAGATAAATAGGTACCGCTCCAGCGGGAAGGTAAACGGCGTTTCCATGCGCTGGTCTGGTTCGCCAGAAGCAGCTTAGTCATGCTGGCCACATGACCCGGAAGCTGTCTGCAGACAAACACTGGCTCCCTCGGCCAATAAAGCGAGATGAGCGCTGCAACGCCAGAGTCGGTCACAACTGGACCTAATGGTCAGGGTTTCCCTTTACCTTTTACCAGTCCAAGACTGGTTGAAAGATCAAGACTCCCGCTGTTCTTTCTTTTCACAGCAGACTGTGAAACCATACAGGTCAAACCTATTCCTACTATGATATGATAGTGCATCTTTCTAAATGTGCATCTCTCTGTCATTAATCAGCATATGCAACTTTTGAGCAAATCAGTGTCATCTTCCAACTTTCCCTTAGACTTATGCATTTCCTCTTCTTTCTTTTTTTTTGGGTGGTGTGTAACTGGCCCGCCCTCTGTACAACCTTTGCCCAAAGTGAGCTGAGGTGCAGGGTGCAATTCCAAAAACTGCTGATTTACCAGAAAGGCATTTGGATTCCAGACCTGTTAATTCCTATCTGAAGCCTGACATCTGCACGTGCGGGGAATAGGGAGGACAGCAGAGGAAGGTGTGTATTTGTGTGGGTGGGTGTCTTGCCTCCTGCTTCTGCTATAGCAACCAGTTCGGAACAATAGCTCCCCAGAAGCATTACTCATTAAAGTCCAGGGGAACCAGGAGGAAAGGCAGTGAGTCAATTAGCACCTCTGTGGCAGCACTGCCCCCTTTGGCTTCCCAGCAGTGTGGGATAATTAGGACAATTTATCCTACAGCTGCGCTGCCCCAGAGAGACAGCCTCTCCTTAAACGGGCAGGTGCAGCTGACTCTTCCTGACACACGAAGGAGTCTATGGTAGGTTGTCCCCCAGGCAGCAGCCACCAACACTCCCAAGTCTTCTCACACGTTCACTGACAAATAGAGGATCAGATCAGACAGACAGTGGCAGAGGCAGCTGTGAAGAGTCTGGTGGGAAGAGATGGCTTTGTGCCTCCAGGCTGAGCGGGACTCTTGTCAGGAGCTGGAGATGGATGAAATGCAGCGGGTTACTCAGTCCTTGAAAAGGACTATAAACCCATTCTCCGCTGGTAGTGCATTGTAAGCGACAAGGCTGACCCTACAAGGCATTGGACACTGTTGACTAGACCTGAATGAATATATTCAGTATTGGCTTGGAAAAGCTGAGAGAGAGTAGAATCTTATCAGTCTGCAAGAACTTAAGAAAGAGTCCTCCCGGATGAGACCAAAGGCAATTGCTTTAGTTGCTAGTGTGTTTCAAGGCTGAATCAAAGGTGCCTAGGGCACCTAAGGAGAGCCAGTGTGGTGTAGTGGTTAAGAGTGGTAGACTTGTAATCTGGTGAACCGGGTTCGCATCCCCGCTCCTCCACATGCAGCTGCTGGGTGACCTGGGCTAGTCACACTTCTTTGAAGTCTCTCAGCCCCACTCACCTCACAGAAGGGAAAGGAGATTGTTAGCCGCTTTGAGACTCCTTAGGGTAGTGATAAAGCGGGATATCAAATCCAAACTCCTTCTTTTCTTTTTCTTCTTCTTCTTCTTCTTCTTCTTGGGCAGCCATGCCTTCAACGGCCACCTCTTCATATGCAGCAGTGTCAACTCTGTGCATCAGGCCCTTCTCCAAAGTGCCTTAATTTTAGAGGGGAAACAGCATCCGCTGCAAGATGCAAGGGCTATATTTCACTTGCCCAAAGGCACAGGAACGCCCTTGTTGATCAGCCTCATAGCCTTCTGTAGAGTCTTTGCAACCAGACTAACTTTGGCAAGCATATGTCTGCTGCTTCTGCCGCCATTGTCATTGATAATGACGGTAATGATAACAATGATAAATATAACCATTATTATGGGGTTTTATATGCTGCTCTTCAAGCAGAGGCTCTTGGAGAAACCAACAAATCATAAAATAAAACACTAAAAAGATAATTAGCACCTCAGCAGCCGCAAGGCCCCCCTCCTGTGCCACACTAGGGTGAGATAATCAGGACAATTTGCCCGACAGCTGAGCTGCTGAAAACGATAATTAAGAATCATAAATAAATAAAAGCAGCAGTGCAATAAAGTCTCTCCTCCTTAGGAGGTGGGGGGAGTCCACATAGGAGGGGGGCGGTATCCAGTTCTGCAGTGATGCTCAAAAACGTTAGAGTCCCCCATATGTCTAATCTGGGTCAGTGAAAAGTGGACGCCACTCCGCTTCTTGGAAGCTGGACTTTTGCATGAAAAATAGCAGTATCTGCACTACCTTCATGGAACTTATGAGCAGCCCTGCTGGATCAGATTGAAAGCCCATCTAGATCAGGGTCGTCTTCTCATTTCAGCCCACCAGATGCCTGTGGGAAGCCCAAAATCACAGCCTGAGCACAACAGGCCTTCCCCGCCTAGTGATCCCCAGCAGTTGATATTCAGAAGCGTACTGTCTCAGGCAGCAGAGGTAGAACATAGCAAGGGTCCATTGGGTGGCCATCACTATCTCTTGTGGGAGCAGATTCCATGGTTGTAACAATGCAATGTATGAAGAAGTGCTTGTTTTCGTCTGTACTGAATCTCCCAAAGTTCAGCTTCGTTAAATCACCCTGGCTTCTAGTACAGTGGTACCTCGGGTTAAGAACTTAATTTATTCTGGAGGTCCGTTCTTAACCTGAAACTGTTCTTAACCTGAGGTACCACTTTAGCTAATGGGGCCTCCCGCTGCCGCCACGCCACCACCGCACAATTTCTGTTCTCATCCTGAAGCAAAGTTCTTAACCCGAGGTACTATTTCTGGGTTAGTGGAGTCTGTAACCTGAAGCGTCTGTAACCCGAGGTACCACTGTATATTGAGAGGGGGAGAAAAACGTCTTTCCAACCATTTACTTCACACCACACATAGTTTTGTACACTGTCCTGCTTGGACCAGGTTAGATAATGGTCTGTGAGTTAGACAGGGCAGGTTTCTCAGTACCATCTGCTGCAGGCTTAGGGCCATACACAATAACAAGGTTGGACCCAAGTCAAAAAATAAACCAGGGTGGTGTCCAAAAACAGGAATCAACAACTGAGGAAATCTTGTACATAGCAGGGCAAAGACATCAGGCTCAGACATAGGCAGTTGAATGACATATATCATTCAAGCAACAGATTCCAGCGAAGGTTGATACAACCCAGACCATACCCAGCCTAAGATGCAGTTGTTTGCACTAAGAGCCCACTCACTTTAGAAGGACCATTACTCTCAGGGAGCTCTTCAGTTATGCAGTAAAATTGGGTTCTCAGGCATGCACTCCACTGTTGACCAGCTGCCTCGGATTGGGCCTTCTGTTGAGTGCTGGTGGGTATGTGACCTCCCCCTCTGACTTGGCTGGAGGCTCCTCTTCCAGAGGAGGGTCAGAAACTCATCTTGAGGGTCATTAAGTTATCCAGACTATAACTTCCTGGACATTGACACTCTGACTTCGTATTTTCTCCTTTGTCTCCAAACCATAAGGAATTAGCAAAACATGGCTTTTATGATCCAAAACTACAGAAGGAACCTGTGCAGTTAAAATGCATTATTTATGGCACCTGAACTGCTGTACTTGCTTCTGTTGTTTTATTAATGCATTAATCTGAGGTGTTTGAAAGCTCCTTTTTTGTAGATTTAGGTGTAGTTGTTGTTGTTTTTTTCCGTTAGCTGCCTTGAGATTTGGGAAGATGGGTTAAAAATATTTTTAAGAGATTGAATCAGCCCTATCACTTGCTCACACGTGCCTGGTTCCAAAGAGCTTGGTGGAGAGGCCCTCACAGCGCGTTCTGTTTCATTTTACTTTTCAGACTTGCACTTAGCAGCCGAACTGGGGAAAACACTGCTGGAGCGCAACAAAGAACTGGAGGATTCTCTGCAACAGATGTACACAACCAATGAGGAGCAAGTGCAAGAGATAGAGGTACCGGTGAAGCACAGGCACACACATAAGCCAAATAACCCGTTTTCCTGCTTCAGGCGGAGCATGGCTGTGAAAAAGTAGACAGCTGCTTGTTTGGTATTTTCACTGCCACAGCGCAAGCCAGGATGAGCTGCAGCCTCAGAGATGTGCTATTAGGGGGAGGGATGAAAAACACATATGGAAGAGGGTAGAACAGAGGTGGATTAAGGCCCACAGCTCAAAAAGACATTGCTGTACATTCCTGGGAAGCCCTCCCACCCCTAACCCATATGTTTACATTCTGGGCAGCAGCTTTAGTCAGGGTCACTTTGAGCTTTGTTGAGTCCCTGGATTAGTTTCCAACAAAGTCCCTGAAATGGGGTTAACAGTGCAGACCTAACCCTGCCTGCTCAGAAGTAAGTCCTATTGAACTGAATTTAGTGTGGCTTACTCCCAGGTAAGGGGGGTTAGGATTGCAGCCTAAATGGCTTTGTCCCCTTTTGACAAAATGCATCTGTTTTCCATTGACTTTTTCTGTTTTCCTTTTTCAAAGTATTAAGATAGGCTTAGCAGTAGCTTACCTTGTTGTTGTTTTTTAATAGTAAATTCGGGCCCACCCATGTTGCCCATTAGGGTCAGCCTTTTAGTCAAAAGGCATTTTAAGTGATTCATCCAGTCTTTTGACTAAATGCTTTAGACCTACTGAATTGTTTTTTGGTATTATGTCCCTAATGTTGTTTTTTTTAATGGGCTTTTAAACCTTTTTTCTTTCCAGTATTTGACCAAACAGCTGGAAATGTTACGGCATATGAATGAACAGCATGCCAAGGTTTACGAGCAGCTGGATGTGACAGCGCGTGACTTGGAACTGGCCAATCAGAAGCTTGTGCTGGAGAGTAAGACATCCCAGCAGAAGATACAATGGTAATGCTTCCTCTGGTGGGTCCTTTCATGTCTAAAGGTAGAGGTTGCCTGGCAGTTAGGGGGGGGGACATTCAAAACTGAGGTGGCATTGTTAATTCAAAAGTGAGGATTATAAGAACACAGCCATTGTGACATTTTGCAGTTTCATAGCCCTGTTCATGCCAGGGAACAACTGAGATGGTGGATCTGTTTCCATAATGTCCTCTGGGACATGAATGGAATGCAATATCTGTTCCCAAGTAGGGAAAACTTTCTTCTTCCTCTTCATTGGGAGAACAGTTTTTAATAAGAATTGGGTTTGTCAGCTACCCAGTGATAGCCAGTGGACAGGTAAGTTGATTGATCCTACATGTAAGCAAATATGAGAATTTGCCCTTCCTGCCCTTTGCATTGGGATCATCTAAGTTCTCCATATCTTAGAATACGTGGTTTTTCTGTCCGTTTAATGCTTCAAAGTGGAGGTGGAGAACCCTTTTTCAGCCCGAGGACCACATGCCGGTGGTGGGTGGGGTTATAGGCAAAAGTAAATGGAGCAGCAGATACAAATTTTACCTTTGCACAGTAGCCTAGTACAATATTGACACACCCCTCTTTATCCTCTATTCAGAAAAGCAAGAGGCATTAGAGTTTGAGATACATCCCAGCCAGGCAAAACCATTTGTAGAGCAAAGAGGGGTGGCTTGGTGACGGTGCTGAAGGCCAAATCAAGAAATCTGAGGTTCCTTACCCCTGCTTTGAATAATGCAGAATAGCTTAGCTCAGAAAACATGGTGGCTATAGTCTCACTATAACAGACTTCCAGGGAAGGATTTGCAGGAGAGAGCTAGCTTTCGAATGTGTCTCCGTGAACTTTCATTGCAGTTGTGTGGCTCTGCCAATCATCAGCCCGAGGTGATGCGGCATGTAAGTACGTAGCTTGGCTAGTTTCCTGCTTACCTACCATTATAGTTAGGATGCCATCCAACTAACCAGTTATAATAATAATAATAATAATAATAATAATAACTTTGTATTTATATCCCACCCTCCCCAGCCGAAGCCGGGCTCAGGGTGGCTAACAACAATAAAATAATGCAACATTCTAAAATCATTTCATTATAAAATTAATTCAAATCAAATTGATGGCAACCATTGGACCAGAGCTCCGCGAAGATTGCCGAGGGAGGGAGTCAGGCTGTGCCCTGGCCAAAGGCTTGGTGGAACAGCTCTGTCTTGCAGGCCCTGTGGAAAGATATCAAGTCCCGCAGGGCCCTAGTCTCTTGTGGCAGAGCATTCCACCAGATTGGAGCCACAGCCGAAAAAGCCCTGGCTCTGGTTGAGGCCAGCCTAACCTCTCTGTGGACTGGGACCTCCAAGATGTTTTTGTTTGAAGATTGTAAGTTCCTCTGTGGGACATACCAGGAGAGGCGGTCCCGTAAGTACGAGGGTCCTAGGCCGTATAGGGCTTTAAAGGTTAAAACCAGCACCTTAAACCTGATCCTGTACTCCACCAGGAGCCAGTGCAGCTGGTATAGCACCGGGTGAATGTGATATCGCAGCGAGGACCCCGTAAGGAGTCTCGCCGCGGCATTCTGCACCAGCTGGAGTTTCTGGGTCAGTCTCAAGGGCAGCCCCACGTAGAGCGAGTCACAATAATCCAGTCTGGAGGGGACCGGCGCGTGGATCACAGTGGCTAGGTCAGGGCAAGAGAGGTAAGGAGCCAACTTGCTTGTGCAATGGCTTTTAGTTGTGCTGTTTAACTTTCCTTCCCTCTCCTCTCCCTTTAGGAGACATGTTGGGAGTGCTGAGGGCACAGAAGTTAACATTGCGCAGCTAAAAATCATTGCACTAGTATAACTCTGTAATTGGATACTGCCCTGTGTCTGTATCTCAGTCTAAAAACAAGCTAGCGCTCTCTTCTCTTTTTCTTTCCCATCAACTCTGGCTTCATGTAACAGCCTAACAGAAACCATTGAGGGGCTGCAGAACCAAGTCGATGACCTACAAAAGCAGGTGGAAGAGCTGCAGAGTCTAGATCAGCTGCGCATCCGCCGGGAGAAGAGAGAGAGGCGCCGAACCATCCATACATTCCCTTGCCTCAAGGAGCTATGCTCTAGTCCCAGGTAATCTGCAGCTGGAGGGGCGGTGCTTTGCGGGCAGACAAGGGAGAACAGAGTTAGGACAGCCATTCCTTTGCAGGGGAAAGCTGTCTCGGGCAGTATGGAACGTTCCAAGGCTGCAGCAATATTTTTCATTCAGGGACCCATGGGCATTGCTAATGGCAGAAAACAGATGGAGGAAAGTTTAATTTTATAGACTATACTGTGCTGGTGGGTGGAAGGAGAACAAATATTTACAGAGTGCGTTAAAATAATAATAATAAAATTTGCTTTTTTGCCAGTTAAGCAGTTTCAGATCCTCTCAAAAAAATCCTAAAACCAAAGGGGGGGGGGGAATGCAGATATCAGTTTTTGGCACGCATACCAGTCTCATTTCCATCTCCCTCTATTGCTGCCTGGTACACAGTTTGAGCAAATTCATATGTAGAATAGCATTATGAATTCCAGATTGGAGAGAGAACAGGTTTTAATAAAAGAGGGGAATATTCAGTAATGTCAGAATCCCCATTCTTGGATAAGGAAGGAAGGAAGGAAGGAAGGAAGGAAGGAGGGAAGGAAAAGAAGCAGCGTATTATCAGAACATCTTCTGTGATTATTTTTGTGCTCAGAATGATAACTTTAATAGTGTTATCACAACAGGACAGTTCTTTCCCACCCCCTTTTTTTGAAGCTAAGGACTGTGTGCCCTTGCTATGCATATCTAGTATATAGGTAATTTAATTGTATACCAATAGTACCTCACTAGGGACGCGGGTGGCGTTGTGGGTAAAACCTCAGCGCCTAGGGCTTGCCGATCGCATGGTCGGCGGTTCGAATCCCCGCGGCAGGGTGAGCTCCCGTCTTTCGGTCCCAGCTCCTGCCCACCTAGCAGTTCGAAAGCACCCCTAAGTGCAAGTAGATAAATAGGTACCGCTTTATAGCGGGAAGGTAAATGGCGTTTCCATGTGCTGCGCTGGTGCCGGCTCGCCAGAGCAGCTTCGTCACGCTGGCCACGTGACCCGGAAGTGTCTCCGGACAGCGCTGGCCCCCGGCCTCTTAAGTGAGATGGGTGCACAACCCTAGAGTTGGACACGACTGGCCCGTACGGGCAGGGGTACCTTTACCTTTTTAGTACCTCACTGTGGAGAACACGTGAGCTTTCCAGTCATTCTGGGTACGCATGTCACTTAAAAAAACAGTGTGCAAGAGACTGTGCACTCGTATCCCCCCTAAATGGTACCCCTGTCAATGAAGATTCATAAATATTTGCCTGAAAACAAGGGGCTCTGCACTTTAGAAGCAGACTGACCTCATTTTCAGATGTTCCTTTCCAGCGCTAAGCTCAGAGAAAACCAGTTCTGCAGTCTACTCAACCCTTTGGTCTGCCAGCAAGTTCATTGACATAGTCTCCATGTGGGTTGCAGGGGCACCATCTCAGCTTCTCCCATACCTGACAGCTCTTCCACCTGCAATTCCACCCCTGTACTAGAGTAACAAAAGTTCCCAATGCATGCTCCTCCCCAAGAGAAGCCTGATAGTCAGAGAGCTCATTGATCACCCACTCCAACTGCAATTCTTCCCTCACCTTCTGAAGATGTTCCTTTGGTGCAGGGATCGGCAACCTAAGGCCCATGGGCTACAAGCAGCCCACAGGGGTCATTTAATCGGCCCTTGAGCCGCCCCCAAACCGAGCTGCCTGCTCGGCGAGTCCCTGTGCGCTGAGCTAAACTGGCACAGTGCGGGGACTCGCTTTCATGGCGCCTGAACTTGTGGGTGAGCACAATCTGGCCCACAGAGGGATCTCTGCTGGAGTGAACCGGTCCAGGCAAGGTAAACCTTGCTGACCCCTGCTTTGGTGTGTTTGCTTGTTCCAGCAGGAGCCGTCTAAACCAGCAACATGCTGCATTGCAAACACAATCTGCTGAAAACCAGCAAGTGGAATTTCTGCTGCTGTGATGAAAGGAATATGCTATTAGGCCATAAGCTAACCCTAGGCAAAATCTGTTCAGTGCCTATATGGATGCTTGCCCCACAATACCCCTGTGGTACTTTACCCAGAGTGCTGTAGGACTGTGTGTGTTACCTCAATAAAACCTGCATTTGGGTTTATGTAGGTCGCATTCACTCTGGGCCACTAAGAATTTTCAGTACCAGCCACTGGTTCCAACCTAGAATGGAATGGGTCATGGGGTGGGGGGAGGAGATGGTATGGCTCCTCCCACCCCACCCCACTTCCATCTGTTTCAGCTAATGAATCTGCTTCAGGCATCTTAATCGGGGGGGGGGGAGAGAAAATTATATATGCTGACAGAGATAAGCCAGTGTTTGTTTTCCATATTATAAAATGACTCAGGGAGATGTTATCCCTCTGGGATCATATTTATAACCATCCTCCCTCTCACTCTGGACAGCTAGCTTCAGAACTAGCTAGCTCTTTAGAGACTTGGAGACAAACTTTCAGAGGTGAGCTGCCTTAACCCATGGTAACCCATGGATTTTTTTTTTCTTTCTTTCTACAGCCTCTGGTCAAATAAGTTTGTTTAGTGCTTCAGGCAGTAACCTGGAAAATCAAAACAGGATCCCAAAACTGTGTCTGACATAGACTAGAACCATAAGACGGCAGACACAGCATCCAACCCCCTTCAGTGCAGGAATCAGCTAACTCTTTCCTGTAAACGTTGCAGTGCTTATAATAAACAGAGCACAACACGTTTGTTTTTTATTCATCATCAAAATTCGCCTTAAAATCGATTATTCCCTTGAAGCCTATAGATTGTCTGTCTTCTTCCTTAGGAAACTAATCTTAAGTACATGTAGCTTTCATTTGCTCACACTCATCCCTTCTTCCCTTTTCCTCCCTCCCTTCATTGTCTTGCCTGCAGTTCTACAGCTGGGGCCCTTTTTTTGCTGATATTACTCTTAAGAACACCATTCATAGAGGTGTCACTATAAGAACAATAATGAGTGTATAGTATGCTTATGAAGTCCTTTGAAAAGAACAGTGTAAAGGTTTTCTTTAGGTCAGTTAAGCAGAACCGTACTTGGTTGGTGACTAGGGTTCAGTATGAAACTCAGGAAAGATAAGCAGAGTCCAGACAGCAAGTATGCGAAGCATATGTTTGCCTGTTCCCCCATGGAAGAATTACTCCTGGCACATATTAAAATAGCACATCTCAATAAGGGTTCACATATATGTTGCCATTTGGGGTGTGATACATAGGATTCTGTTGTGTACGGAGGTAACTTCTCTGTTAACCTTTGCTGGACTTATGGTACCCACCTAGGAATCTATAATGATTAGTTTGCTAATGGCTTTTTTGTTTTTGTTTTTTGGATATCAGATATGAAGATGCGTTCCAGATTCATAGCTCTTCAATGGAGTTCAGTCAGATGCCCTTGGAACGAGAGAATGAGCGGCTGCAAGCAATGGTGAATTCCCTCAGGTCCCAAGTCAACCAGGAGAAACAGCGGAAGGAGAGGGTGGAGAGAGAGTACACGTCCGTCATCCAGGAGTACTCAGATCTTGAGCAGAGGGTGTGTGAGATGGAGAACTGCAAGCTGCGCATTAAAGAGCTGGAAGGAGAGTTACTGGAACTCCAGCAGATGAAGCAAGTCAAGAAATATCTCCTCAGTAGAGAGGACAACCTGTCAGAAGCACTTCTGGAGCCACTGAACAATGCCCCAGAAGCTGACTACATTGACCTAACTGAGGAAGATGGAGGTAGAAACCATGAATCGTCCATGACAGCCTCCCCAAACCACCCTGTACGGAAAAGCTGTAGCGACACGGCCCTGAATGCCATTGTGACCAAGGATGCTGTGAGCCGCCATGAAGGCAACTACACACTGCATGCCAATAATGTACGCAAGAGGGGGATGTCAATCCTGAGGGAGGTGGATGAGCAGTACCATGCCCTGCTGGAAAAGTATGAGGAGCTCCTCAGCAAGTGCCGGCAGCACAAAGACAGCGTGCGCCATGCCGGTGTCCAAACCTCCCGCCCTATCTCTCGCGACAGCTCCTTTAGAGACTTCCGGGGAGAGGGTTATGAGCTGGACGAGCTCAAGACGATGGAGAAGAGCCTTAGCAAACACGTGGAGGCTGTAGACAAGCGGCTAGAGCAGAGCCAGCCAGAGTACAAAGCCCTGTTCAAAGAGATCTTCTCCCGAATCCAGAAGACGAAAGCAGACATCAATGCCACCAAGGTGAAAAAGAAGACCACAAAGTGAATCCCGCTGCTTTGGCGTCACTGCGTTTGCCACAAGCAAATTCAGCATCGAGCTCTTCACTTCGGCACCAGGGAGCATTGTACGGCCTCCTGCCTCCCAAGTCCTAGGAGCTTCTCACGTTGATGTCTTCTTGCACAAAAAGGGAACCTCTTAGAGTGTTTCAGGAGTGGGAAGAGCCCACCTCACATTCTTCGAAGTCAGTGCTCCAAGCTGCCTGGGTCCCTGGATGTGCTGCAAAAAGCTCTCTGTCATAGTTGTAGTTGGTACCCAAGATTTTCCAAGGAAACCCTTCGCATCACTGCAGCAGCCAGAAACCACGAACAGGAAATTAAACAAACTAGCCACAGTATCACCTTCTCCCGCGACCAGTTGGATTTGCTTTCCATCAAGCAACACAGCAACAAGCTTGGATTTCTTACAATGCCCTGGAATACCCAGAACGTAATAATTTAAAACACCAGATTCCAGAGGCAGCTTCCATACATGCACTCTTTTTCTTCAGTTTCCTTTCCCCCTTCTTCTTCCCATGAAGAACCCACAGATGCATCGGCAAGACTTTTGACTGGACTTCTCTCTTTCCGGAAGGGGAGCATGTTCTTCCTGTTTAAGCCATCCTCTTATTGGTCAGGTTTTTCAATTTTTACAATGCAAGCTCATTGCAACTGGAAAAACTTGAAAAAAGATTGCTGTTATGTCTTCATCAAGCATACCTAATTGTTCCACTCATATAAGATAGGACAGAGTGAGCTTAGGTTTACACTTCCTCCAGTATTTTTATTTTAGGAAGTTAGTTGTCATCACTTCGCTCATTTAACCTGGGCTTTCCAAGAAGCCAAACAAGAAGTGCTATTACTGGCTTGGAGAGACACCCTCGTCTTCATTTGGGTGTTGCGTTTCCCATGCCTTGCCGTTCAAGTGGTTTTTTCCTAATTGTCTTTTGTGGCTGGCTCCTAAGACATGATTTGCATGGGCTTGCAAAAACTGAATAGTGATGACTCATGTTAAGTAGGAGTAAATTCAGCAAAACACCCAAGTTCAGTTGTCATCACTAATAATGTTGTTTATCACACTATTCCACACCGTCACTTGTTAGTTAACGCTTCCGTTGCCAAGCTGCCTTTTCCAAAGGCTGTCTCTACTCCATTTATACATTCAACCTCGCTTACATATACCACACATTTACACACAAAAGGCCTCTTCAGTCTCAGGAATAATCAGTATCCATTTCACAGAAATACAGAATTGGGATTCTTTAGTCACATGCTAATAAGTGATGGTTAGGGTCACGTGCATATATGAAAATAAGCAGTATTATATTTCACTAAGTTTAGGGTACACATGCCAGAGTTCTCACTTGTGAGGGGACAATAGTAGCAATGATTATTAACTTACCAAGCAGTATTATACTTGAAGAAATTTTGGACCAGTTTCTTGTTTAGTTGTACCTGAATAAGACCCAAAGTCTGTGATGTTTCTTTGAAATCATGCTAGTGTAAATGAGTCTGCCTTTTCATTATTTCCAAGCTTATTCCTTCATGTCCTCTCACTTTTCAGCACTGCGATTCTCAAATCGCACGCTTTGCAGTGGTCAGTATTAACAGGCCCGAGCCAAGTGACTTGAGGACCATGGCTCCTTACAGTTGGCTGCCAACATTTCTGCTTCTTGCCATGCTTTTACATTTCATGTTGGTAGACCTGGTTTTGACCTGAAGCGGATTTTGTGAACTAAGTAAATACAGGGTAAGAAGGCAAATGTGTGGAAAGTCAATGGTTAACAGAGTGAGATTTCCACTCCTCTGCCATCAGACTGTCATCTCGTTATGTGTTTGCTAGATTCTTGCCATGGGGGTCCTTGTGTTCAGCCAATTGAAGTCACTTTTGTAATGTGTGAAAGTATTTTTGAGCAAGCCTGCCCAGGGGCTCTTCTTTCTGGAAAGATTCTTCCTCTACTACTTAATGCCAAAACTTCTTTTGTACCCTTGATGTGGCCCAGCTTTTGAAGTATTAGGAGCCATAGACATGATTGTGGCTACCACTCTGGTAACCATGATGACAAACCTTCATGCCTTACAGTTGAAAAATCAAGTTGTCTGGGGGGTAAAATAACAAAGGAAGTTGGTTTTCTTAAGAGCATTTACCTTGCTCTGTTTGGCTGCCATCATGGCTGCTGATGTTTTGATTAACTTTCCTTTACTATCTTTCTACTAAGGGACTTTTGAACGGATGTTTGTTCTCAAGTCATCTGTTTGTTGCATCAGTATTTGGGGCGGGAGGGGGCCATTGCAATCATTCTTGGTTTTGAACACCGTTAATGTGCAAACCAGCATCCCAGTTTAAGTGTAGTATACTTAAAATTAATATATTTAAAAATGCTTTATTCTCTTCTTAAATAAAAAAAGAAACACCAGTATTCTGAACACGGAAATTTCTTGTGTTTATTTCTTTGCATTCCAGAAGTAGGCTTGCTGCTTTGAATTCTCAGCATCATTTAGGTCAAGAAAATGCTTTAGGCATGATAAAAAGTGGAGGGTAACCACCAGAATGGATGTGCTGCTTCTCTTTATTTATTACATAACAGATAGTTCCTGTTTTTGTGGGACGAGGACTCACTCTGTTATTAAAAAGCACCCCTTTACACACGTCAACATTCTGAACGCTCCAGTAGCTTGAAACATTTTCTTCCATGCTTGCAAATGTCAGCTTTGATTTCTTGAACACACTTCAGAGTAATTACTCATGCAAGCAATGGGATATTAACACTTGCCTCAACAAAGGGACAGCTGCATCGCTTTGCCAGTCAGTTCAGCAAAATGCTGAGAGCATAATTTCTTTGACCAAAAATAATACTGGCTGTATTGTGTACAAAAAAAATCTAGTGAACTTGTCTTTCCACTGAAAAACAGAATCTGCTTCCTACTTCTATAGCGTATATCCGTCTTAAAGCTCCCTGGCATGCTGTTCATCAGCTGGATCCTCATTGTTGTGGAAACCTTTTATACAGCCTGGGGTGTAAATAGCAGATGCGACCAGAAGCACAATGGATGGGACTCTTAACTTTGTACAATAAGCTACATTCCAGACACACAAATCTGAGGATTCTACACACATCCGCACACCACTTAGGCAGCTGAGGTGTTATCACAGGACAGTTTCCAGCCAGCCAGAAGCACTTGCATGGAGCAAGCAGGTGAGCGGCATCGCTTGGGAGAGAGGATGTGGATTCAGGAGAGTCTGAGAGCTAGATAGCTGCATTTCGTCCCCCAGGCCTGAGGTTCCTTACAGCTGCTCAACATAAGATGAAAACTTGACACCGGTTGAACTAAAGTGATGGGCAATCCTGCTCTAGGTTAGATTTAATTTGGACTCGCTGAGTTAATAAACTGCTTGTTTGTTTCATATTTAGCTTGTTATTAAAGAGCTTGGTTTCTTCCAGATGGCCTCTGCTATGTGTCATCAGTTATATAACCTGCAAGCTCTGGAGACCCCTTTGCCAGGCACCACAGATGTGGCTCTTGCACAAGCGGAAGAGATGGCTACCAAACTGGGGAAGCAAGACCAAAAGGAAAAGAGAGGCACTCTGGGTACATGGGGAAAGGTTTATTTCTGGCCAAATGCACTTCAGAGCTTGTTTAGGCACTTGTTGTGAACAGCTCTATTCAAAGCTTGCCCTCGGAAAGATTATTCCAAAACGTATATTGCCTCAAATAAATCACCAGGAGTTCCTTCCTGTCTTTTTTCTTCCTCCAAGTGGTATGGATTCCCAAATCTATGCCAAACAGGCTACGAGAAGGCTAGAAGCCTGTTTTTGGCCCTGGTGTATGCTGACCATATCTAGGGTCTACAGCAGTTCAGGGGGCCTAGCCCCCAGTTCAGGGGCCTGCTGTGTCCCCCAAAGACTTAACTAATTTTGAGAGCAGTTGTGGAAAAATAAAATACACAGCGCTCTGGTGACCAGAGTGAATGCAGTCCTCCTCAGGCCCAAAATATTAGCCAATTTAGAGATTTTGAAATTTCAGTTTCATAATCTGGCAATGCCATACTGCCACCAAATTCCAGGTTGTTCAGGGGGAAATTGTCAGGAACCCTAAGTGGGATTAAACCAGCACCATCATACATTAGTATGAATGCAAATGGTTCAGCCTTCAGCAGATAATCAAGAGCCATGATCACAGTTTTTCAGCCTAAAGGCCTTCAGATTGGGGAAAGGGGCAAGTAATATGGCATGGTTAGCTTCTAAAAAACACAAGCAAACCTCAATGGGCCACATTTTTGCATCTTTGCTGCCAAGCTCCTTCCACCCCAATTACCATGCTCTCCAGGTTGTGTCCCTAAGCAACTCACCACTATCCTCTGTCTCATTTGCTAGATCAACATTTCAAAGCCACGAGGGAATTTTGAAAAACTTGCAGTCTTTTCTCCAAACTGCAACAGAGATTAAATACTGTCAAATACAAGATACTTCACTATGTGTGTTGGTTCTGGCAAATGCTGTGAATAAGAGCAGGGGGTTGGACTAGACAACCCTTGTGGTCCCTTTCCAACTCTACAATTCTACGAAGAGAACTAATGAATTTACATCTAGTAACTTGGCTCCATTATATGAGATCCTGTCCACTGACCTCCTGGAGCCTAACCATTTACCACAAGGCAAAAGCACCAAATTTCAAAAAATCAAATTTGATTATTTTGTCCCCCTCCAAATTTTCCTTTGACGAAGCATTTCCTCTGACCTATAGCTGAACATGAACATTTGCTCTGTTTATGAACCAGCAGCATTACTTCCAGTGTATAATGAGAATCGTTCCTTGGGTTATCCAAGACTGAAAACTTAACCCCTCAGGCAACTGAAACCATGCATGTGGTTTCCATCGGTTAATGTATTTTACAGCCCAGTCTTATGTTTACTCAGAAGTCAATCCCTCCGAGTTCAATTAAGCTTGCTCCTAAATAGGGAGATCTGCTATTCTTTCATTGGGATCAAACTCCATTGAACACAGTGGGACTTGACTTTCAAGCAAATACTTGGGCAACAGCTTGCGTGCCTCCAACTTAGAAATGTCACAGGAATGCTTGGAAACATAGGGATTCCCTGCAAATAGCTGATACACTCAAAACGAAAACAAGCACATTTTGGCCCAGTACTTTTAATTATGAGGACAATGCTACAATTCTGAGCAGAATCCAGCGATTTACTTATTTATTTTTTAAATAAAAAGTGCTATTTGCTCCATTTAGACCTGATAATAGGAGTTTCTCCAGGCTGCTCACAAAGCAAATATAAAATAGATTAAAATGTAATATAACATTCATATAAAACCAGTGCTTTTTTTCAGGGGGGATACAAGGATACCCTGCATACCCCTAAACATTTTGTGAATCTTTGTACTTTTGTCCATTTACTGTATTTATTTTCCCCGATTTGAAATATAAAATGGTGATTTTCTTGAGTCAAAATAAGAGTACCTCTAAACATTTTTAAGGGGAAAAGCACTGTATAAAACAATTAAAACTAAAACAGATTCATTTTAGAAACTGAAATGCAATTTAAATCTAAGAAGCTCAGCCTGTGGAAGATAAAAGTGTTTAGAAGTGGACAGCCTAGATCAACAGCAGCGCAAGCCCAGCATATCTCCTCCCCAGATTTCGGAATCACATATGCGCGCTTATGCAAGAGGCGGAGGGGAAAGGTGAGGAGGAGAACCGTGTTTCTCCGGAACGGCAAGTGACCGGGTGCCTTTTGCAGCCGGACTTTTTTAGAGCAGCACTCAGCCCAGCACAAGATGGCGGCGTGCGCGCTGCGCTGCCTCTGGCGATGGCCGGCGCTGAAGCTGCTCTCCGCAGAAGCGGCTCGGGACTTCCCGCGCCGAGCCATCGCCTCCGCTCGCCCAGACTCCGGTTCTGAATTCCGGAGCGAATACAGCTTGGACAAGCTCTACCCCTCGCAGCAAAAAGGAGCCGACGCAAAAAAGGTTAGGAATCCGGATTGGAGGCGGTTGATGGTCGGAGCACCTAGATCTATATAAAAAGTAGAGTAGCACCTTCCTTGGATTTCCGTTCGCATAGTTCTACGCCTCTCCCTCACCGCCGGTCTGCGGGTGGAAGTTACGTTGCCCCATGTAAATGGATAGGCCTAAGAATAGGAACTGGAGAAACGCAGGTTCGAATCCCAGCTGCGCTTATTAACTTCACTGGGTGGCCTTGGGCTGGTCGTTGTCTCTTACCCTGACCTATGTCACGGAGATGTTGGGAGGATAAAATAGAGCTGCCTCTTGTTTAGAGGGGGGGGGTCATGGTATAGACAGATGTAATAAATAAAATAGCATATTTTCTCTGAGGGGATAGCCATAGCTGTCAATTTTTCCCTTTTCTTGCAAGGAATCCTATTCGGAATAAGGGAATTTCCCTTAAAAAAAGGGAAACGTTGACAGCTATGGGGATAGCACATCTGTCCCAATGTGAACAAATGTGAGCAGCAAAGATAAACAATTCTTGTTTTTTGTTTATATATCTCAGTTTCCCTCCCTTATGACACCCAAAGCAGTGTATGTGCTGTTCCCAAGCAGCCTCCTATCTAGCCACTGACCAGAACCCAGTTCTGCTTAGTTTGAGTAAGGTGATGGTTCTGCAAGCTGTTAGATTGTACTACCCTTTTGCTTCTAACTCTGCCTTTACTTAATCTTAAATGTTATCTAATTCAACTTCCTGCCAATGTAGGAAATTCACTCCTACCATTTGCCTAATAATAACAATAATAATTTATTTATTTATACCCCGCCCATCTGGCTGGGTTTCCCCAGCCACTCTGGGCGGCTCCCAACAGAATAATCATAATAAAGTGATAAAACATCAAACATTTAAAACTTCCCTAAACAGGGCTGCCTTCAGATGTTTTCTAGAAGTCAGATAGTTGTTTATTTCCTTGACATCTGATGGGAGGGTGTTCCACAGGGCAGGTGCTACTATCAAGAAGGCCCTCTGCCTCGTTCCCTGTAGCTTCACTTCTCACAGTGAGGGAACCAGCGATAGGTAGCTATCCAGTATGTTTTATCTGGAGAATGGCAATGAGATGTTGAGACTGAATTCAAGGGTGGTGATTTCTTTTTCAGACTCAGTCGTACAATGATTCTGCATGTTGAAGTCCTCATGAGTTGCCCCTCCCCTTTTTTCTTGAAGGTTCAGATGTGATAAACTAGTATTGTGAATGACTTGACAATAGTGGATACAACTTACTGCTCCTGGTTGAATAAAGGGTTTTCAGAATCTGATGAACCACACTTAGTTCAAGAAGTCCTCTGACTGTGAGCTTTGCTGAACTGAAAAATGGTCACAAGAGTCTGGTCTAAGACGTTAAAGCTGAGGAAACAAAATAATTTGAGTGCCTAGAAATCTATATTGTACAAAGTAAAGCTAAAAATTGATAGACCCTGCCAATGGCCTTTAAAAAAAATAATCTATTGCTGTAGTTGCATATTTTTCCATTTTCTGTTTATACACTAATTGTACTACAGAAATTTTTACAGTAGTATTAAGTTGCAGTTGCTTAACAATATGTATCTCTGTGTTAACAGGATTTGGCAAACCAGACTGTTCCCGACATACCTGTAGGTGAGTCCAGAACATTAGAGAAGTGATGTCTCTTTCTCCCGAATGAGTTCCCCAGGCATTCATTTTATTTGCCTGTAACAGTGTAATCCTATGCAGGCTTGCTTGGAAGTAAGTACTATGGCTATATTTCTGATTTAAACAGGCCTATAGGCTTGTGCTGTAAATCAGTTAAACTTTTATTTAGTGGAGGATTGGGTACTGGCACAGAACTGCAAAGAACAGATGGGCCAATCATTAACAAAACAATGCCTTATAGTGCTTGTGTTGCCAGTGGAGGCCACATGCCAGTGGTGGGTGAGGCCAGAGGCAAAAGTGAACAGAGCAAGCCATGTGCCTTCTTTGTACAGTAAGTTTCTTTCTACACACAGTCACACATCACTCCCTGTTTTCCATCCAAGCAGGCAAGAGGCATTATCAGAGTTCCAGGACATATTATAGCACAGCAAAAACACTCAAGGAGAGTGTGAAACATGGTCTGCAGAGGGGATGTAGCTTGGGGAGAGTCCCAAGGACCACGTAAAGAGACACATTTGGCCCCTGCAACTCAGGATCTACCCCCATGCTAAGCCAAACCTCAGGAGTAATGTGGCTGCAGTATTTTCACATGCACCAGTACACTTGCTTGTTCATTCTAAGCTCTAGTTCGGCTTAATGTCATACGTAACTCAGGATGCTTACCTTAATTTTACATTTGATAAAGCAGTAATTAATTCTATGCGGCTTGTATGCTACCTTAAAAATATATATACTTCAAGCATTGTTTTTATTATATATCGAAAACATTCAGAAACATATACCCAAAAAACAATGCCCACAGTCCCATGTACTTCCCCATTACTGGGAAGTAAATCCCGTTGGTGGAAAATGCTTTCGCTGAGGCTGCCACTGCAATTCATTACCTGCTTATTTCACCAGATGGAGAATACGGTAACTACTTAAGGACAATCGGAATGCTCCTACAGGAGCCTTAAGGAGTGTTTATTGGAGTTACCTTCATACTTCAAGAGGTCATCTCTATTCCAAGTGTGACCTTCCAGATCAGTATATCCTTTCCTATGCAATTTCACCCTTTCTTCTTCTTCCATATACATACACAAAGCCATGACTGTATCTTTTCAATATTTCTCTTTGCAATCTTTTCCAGGTCGTTTGTCCATATCATATTGCCGAAGTAGTGGCCCAGGAGGCCAGAACGTTAATAAAGGTACGAAAAATATCGGAGCAGATTTAAATAGATACTTGTCCTGGGCATGCATACTTGGGAGTGAGCTCCCTTTTGAGGAAACATGAGTAGAATCAAGCTGTGGGTTTTTCTGTTAATCAGTGGTGTTATTAGATGTGTAAAGTTAACGTTTGTACATCTTAATCTGAGGACTCATTAGCCTTATGACTTTGACAAGTACTGAAAGATCAGTGCTTCTTTTTAACTGTCAGACGGTGTGGTGGTTGCTCACGAGTAACCAGGCAGGAGTAACCGACCTGTCTTTGGCAGGTTTTTATTTGTGCAAACTATTTACAGTGCAGGACCAGAAAGTTCATGTCCGTCTCAATCACTTGCAGATTCCAGGAGTGGCCCCTTCCGGTTTCCCCTCCAGCATAAGAACTTAAGACACCCCAAATATCCGCCTTCCCTCCTTGTGTTTCACACCTCTGCATAAACTGGGCGACAGAAATGGCATGCCTGTTTCCTGGCTGGCTGGGCTAGGTGAGGCGCTTGGGCTCTCAGTAGCATCTTTGAGCCCTCCCCTCGCTCGGCTTTCCCATTCCACCTCTGCTCCACTGGAGGTGTGGCTTTCCCCTTCGTAGAATGAGGAGCTGCTTCTCAGGAGCATGGGCGGCTCCCTGTATTCCCATGCCTCCCTCCCCTGTCCTGATGGCAGCTCCCTGACATTAACTAGTTTCTCTTTTCTTCATTTTTTAAAAAAAGATCAGAGTTAATATTCAGTGCTGTAATAGGAACGCCCTCTCCTGTCCTCTGCAAGTCCCTGTGTTCCCCCCCATCTGCTCCAGAGGATCCTCCAACCCTTTGGAGATTTTGGGACATGTGTTTGATACATAAAACTCCTGTGACTTTAAAATGGTTCTTTTGAGTTGTTTACAAGGAAACATTGTTTACAAGGGGGGGAAGGGGAGGACTTTGCCAGCCAAAATGCATTAGGCATTAATAAAAAGTATTACTTTTCAGCTTTTTTGAGATTGAGTCTACTTTTTTGCCATGTCTCTTGGAATGCCAAGAATTCTTCTGAAAATGCAGGACACTTCAAAGTTAGATGGTGGGGGGGTGACATTTCACATGGCAGCAAGATCAGCTGGTGGGGTATGTGTGACATTGAATTGAAATCTGAACCTGCAGCCTTTGGATAGGATCTGTAGTTCTCCTAGTAATAGTCATGTATTTCTTTGTTTCACTCGCAGTAAATACAAAGGCAGAAGTCCGGTTCCATTTGGCAACAGCAGATTGGATCTCGGAAGATGTGCGACAGAAAATGGCCACGATGGTAATTCTTAGCATTTATCTTTCTTTTTCTAGGTACTTCCCAAGCTATTCAGCCCAGCAGGATAGTTTGATCTTGGAGTATTAGTTTATTGAAGCAGCACACAAGGAAATTAGGGTGCTCTGAGAAGCCATTTAGGCAATATAACTCAATATTGATTACATATAAACCCATGCTAACTGTGGTTAGCATCCCATTCAAGGTGCAATGCTATGCTGAAAATTTGCTGGCTGAGGGACTTTTGGATTTGTGCGTTCTATTTGTATGGGCTTCTTTTCCATTCCTGGGGTGAGCACACATTGGATACAGCAGCCATTTGGTCCAGGCATAACGCAAGCCTAGGACTGCTTGCCACCTTTAGCTAGTGTCTGGTGACCTGTGCAAATCTAACTTCTGCATTGAGGAAAGTAATTGCTAAGCATAAGCTAAGTTAATGTCTGGAATTTTTTTTTTCTAAAGCATTTTATCATTGAAAGTTCTCTATTTATCCTTACCTCGTTTTTCACTCTGCAGCGTGATTGCTGTATACCCAAAAACAGCGCCTGGAGGGTTTGGTTAATTGTCGCAACTCTTATTTGTTGAAGTTGTGTTACCCTATTATGGAATTCAGATCCTTTTTTTCATCAGCACTCTGGTGCTGGATAATGTAATAGAGGAGCCTTGGAGCAGTGGAGATATTGAGGTCCACAGTGACAGAACACCTCACCTAGTGGCATCTGCCAGATCCTAGTGCTTGAAAGTTTGCTGTTCTCGACATTCTGCTGGTAACTTGTTTATATTCTGCAAAAGCTCCCACAGTTGCAGTACTACTGGAGTGCCTGCTCTCAGGTTCCCCTGCCCAGTAAATGAGGTATCCACTTTTTACTGGGCAGCCCAAATCCAAGGTGGGAATAAGCAGGATTCTAATCCACAGCTTCCTATAAGCAGTTTACTAAAACAAAGATAATTACATCTGGTAATATTTCCCCAGCACCATTACACAGTAAATCTAAAACTTTCATTGAGGCTGCAGACCCATGTATTCCTGGGAATAAGCCCCAGTGAACACAGTGAGATTTAACTTCAAAATGAACATGCATAGGTTTGGGCTGTAAGGATAACTTTCAGAAGAGACGGTCAGAAGTTGCCTCCTGTGGCAATCATGTCTGCTTTCCCTCTTTTTAAAAAAACAAAAAACAAAACCTTATTTTTAGGCTGGTAAACTAATGAAAATGGAATGCTCCATAGTAAAAAATGTTTTCTTTCGCAGCACAAGAATAGGATCAGTAAATCTGGAGAACTGATAGTCACCTCTGAAGTAAGTCGCTACCAGATGAGGAATTTGGCAGCTTGCTTGCAAAAAATCAGAGAGCTGATTATAGAAGCCACTGAGATGCCTCGGACTGAATCGAAAGAGACTGTGGAAATGATCAGAAGCAGGTATGAGTCCACTAGTTAGATAACACTTCATCCAATCAGCATGCATCTGTAGCTGACAGCTGTTGCATTAAAAATGGCACCCTACAGTGCTCACTTAGAGCAAGGTGAAATCATCTGTAGCTACCATTAGCCAAACAGAGCAGCTGCTTGCTTCCAACTGTCAAGGGTGTGTCACAAAATCATATTAGGTAGCTTAGGCAAGGATCCAGGAGGCCCTCAGCTGACCCCTGGTTTTAACACATAATAAATAAGATAGCCTTCATTTTCTCTTGGTTCTAGCTGGACAAGCTGAGACAGTTTTTGTTTCTTGACTTAGGGCAGAGCACCATGGGTCATCTCTTGTGTGTATTAGAGTGTAAGTGGACCTCTGGAATCGTAATATATACATCTGAGGTAGCATTGCTGTATTTCACTTATATAGAAAGGGCATCACTTTCAGAATGTTGCACTTGGATAAAACATAGCAGGTACCTCTTCTCTGGGAAAATACCAACTACTTCAGGCTTTTTAGAAGAAATATCCCTTGACTACTTAGGATTTTGCTTTTCTTTGAAATGCTGATTCTGCGTGACAAGAACCTGATACAAATCATTTATGATAACAAACTGGAATCATTTCACAGACACACTTAAGTATGTCATCCTCAACCTCTCTATTTGATTTTAGGGTGGAGAAAATGAACCGTGAACGCCTCCGACAAAAAAAGATTCGCTCTTCTGTAAAACAAAGCCGGCATGTGGACTTTGACTGAACGCACCAGAGAAAAAGAGCATTCTGGAACACATCCAGTGGACTCTTTCTAATATTTGGATTTGGAAAAGAATAAAAAAAACCTTACACCATAAAATCTGTTCCTTGCAGTTTATGAAATGGGGGTGGACGTTTTCGCTAAAACTAATGGAGCTTGAAGCTGAAGTCCTATGTCAACTGCCATAACATACATTTACCAAAGTAATTAATCCAACTCTTCTTGGCTGTAGCACAGAGCTTTTCAAACTGTGTGTTGTGACACGTTAGTGTGTCGGCTGCAGTTTGTAGATGCGTCATGCAATGCAGGAAAGGGGCTAGTTTAACCTCCTGATTCGGTAGTAAAACTGAAATACTGTTGTCACAAAATGATGCATGTCTAAAAAGTGTGTCACCAACATGTCAAGTTTGGAAAGCTCTGCTGTAGTGGTTAGCTTTTAAATGAACAGCTCTTCTAAGCATGAGTCTTGTACATTTTTTGAATCATTTCTAGGGCAGCTGTACTGTACCATGTTTGTTTGCTATCCCTGCTTTCTCATGCAATCTGTTCTCACCCATCCTAAACCTGTTCATATTTATGTGCACATAAATATTTGAAATATTTATATCCCATTTTTCTACCTGACAACAGGCATACAAAGCAGCTGAAAATTAGTGATACTTTAAAAAGGGGAGGGGGGCAGTAGTGCTTTTAAGAACCCTTTGTGGCCAATGATTATGGAGTATATCCAGTTCTCTTGCCTTAGATGTTGCTACCACTGGGGCTAGATAACCCAAACATTGGGAGCTACCTTATTTCCCAGGCAGCTGTATGAATTACAATGCAGCCATTTTGACGTTAAATTGGATGTACGTTGTTGGAAGACTTGAGGCAGCAATGGGGCTTCATACAAGTTATGAACTAGCTGCCCCTCTCTGAAGACCCTGTTGTTTCCCTGTTCATGCCATAGCTTTGTATGTTTCCTGCTACGTATGGGAGAGAGGAGAATGCAGGGAAGTTACCGAGCAACAACTGAGTCCTTTTCTACTGCTTCTAGAACAGGGATGGGAAATCTTCAGCCCTCCTGATGTTACTGAACTCCCATCAGTTCCAACCAACAGTGCCAATGGTCAGGGATGATAGGAGTTCTGGAAGAAGTGGAAATAAAGGGTAGAGAAAACATGGAATGACATAAAATCAGGAGTGGAAAGAACCTTGTCTGTTCTTGCTCGTACCTCTGATCTGGTATCTTGGGGACCAGAGTTGTTTCTTAGCCACCACGCTGCAGCTTGCCAACTTAAATGATAGCATTTTAACAGGTGGTTTATTCTATAATCAAGTTAGGCATTTCCTTGATGTTTTCTCTTGAATTACTTTCTGCAACTGCTTTTTTCTGAGGCAAAATTTATTTCCGTGAAAGACACCTGTTCCATACTTCTTGAAAACCATTGTTATAAATAATATAGAATACGTACAGTTCCTTCTTGCATTTTCTGGAAGAATCTCGACTACTGTACTGTACTTTGAAAAGGCCACGTGTTCCTCTTCTCTAAAGCCAATTTTGAGTTCTCTCTGATTGCCACAAGAGGGCACTCTGAATTTAAGGGAAAGGTTGCTTGTCACTTTGTTGCTATAAAATCATAATGCAGCATTTTTACAGTAATTCTATTTTTTAATTAACAGTTGTCACGAGGAAGAAGCAGGCTACTTATTTAGAACATGAGAGGTAGAGGAACATTATTTTGAACACTGGGCAAAGTTTACATCACTGGCTGGTTAAAAATAGGCTTAAAATTCTGATATAATAAAAATTCTTCTGGAATACACAATACATTAATTGGGAGATGTACACTATAATACCTAAGACTCTAGCTGCAGTATACATTTAGAGCAATTTACCACAGCAAACAGTCATGCCTTTTCCCCAAGAATTCTGGGAACTAGTTTGTTAAGGATGATAAGAGTTGTAAGGACACCCCAGTTCCCCTTAACACAGCTACATTTCCCAGAGTTCCCCTGGGAAGAAGGACTGATTGCTAAAGCATTCTGAGAACTGTAGTTCCAAGAGGGGAACGGGGTCCTCACAACTCAGCACCCTTAACAAACTACAATTCCCAGGATTCCTTGGGGGAAGCCATGAGTGTTTAAAGCGGCATCATAGTGTAACCTAAGGCTACAATCCTGACCCCAGCTTACCTGGGGCTAATCCCTATTGAATTCAGCAGGATTTACTTCTGAGTAAACATGCATAGGATTGCTCTGTTAGAGACCTATAGGTTGGCATCCAACTGAGTCGCACAGAAGACCTGCTGAAATCAAATAAATTAGTTGTGAGCAGCCTAAGTCCATTGAGTTGCTTGGGTCTACTCTGATCTGTGCTACGTATATTGCCTCACGTAGAAATTATGGTTCACAAGGATGAACTGGTTTAGAAATTTTGCAGCACCTTGAACTTCTTAGCCAGCATCTATGGGATCAAAGCTTTCAAAACATCTAAGCACCTGACTGAATTTTACCTGTTTCAGATGTCCACATAATCTGTTGGGAACGGCACTGCTTCCAGGCACTCCCTGA